TACCCTACCATGACAATGCTGAGAGAATCATACAAGTATATTACTCAACTTAAATTAATACACAATTTGGTTATACATCACGAGTGAGATTTGATGCCGTACACAGCAAAGTTATGTGGGAGAATAAACTCCAAACTATAGTTTTGCCAAATTATTTGTGATCCATCCAACAAAGACTTCGTGTTTTCTTAACGCGGAGACAATATTCCTTTATTTCTTAATATGTTTCATTGAATTACTAGTTAGCAGACTGTTCCCACAAACTAAAGTCAAAAAGAACACCAACCGTGTAAATTCACCATAACCCAAATCCATGTGATTTAAATAATACTTATCCATGCCTGTACAATTGGTGTATTTCTACATAGACAAGAATGAATACACATTATTATTATTATGAAAAATATGTCTAAACAAGAAAAATGCAATCGTTTTATTTGTTCACAAAATGAACGTACACATGCATCGCGGGCGGCAATGGGAGCAGTCCCACGGCGGAAATTAAACAACGACATCACTCCACTTGCTATCCTTTCCAAGAAGTTAGAACCAGCCCAAACACGTAATAGCACTTTTGGCAGAGAGCTATTAGCCATCTATCTAGCAGTAAAACATTTAGGTTTCTTGTTACAAGGTCATCACTTAACCTTTACCGATCACAAACCATTTTGCCAAGCTTTTACTACTTCGCTAGATAGACACTGGCCAAGAGAAGCCAGGCAGCTGGATTATGTTTCCCAGTTTTCGACTGACATTTGGTACATCAAAGGAGATGCAGGTGTTGTAGCTAACTCTCTTGATTTGCTATGAATCAGCTTCTGTCTTTTATGGACATCAATTTTGACAGTATTGCCAAATTGCAACGAACTGACGCCAAAATTCGAACCTGTAGAGAAAAGTCTTTCTGACAGTGGCAGGACATACCTATTCCTCTTTCTGATGCAACTATCGTTTGCGATGTCTCCACAGGCGTTCTTCGGCTTTTTATAAAATAAGGTTGTCTTTTGTGGCCTAGAATGAACTCTGGTATTCAGAAATGGGCAAGCGAATGCCCACAGTGCTAATACTCCAAAGTATATCTCCACACCGTTACAACTTCAAAGAAATTCGCTTTATCTGATAGACTTATAAAAGGGAGGGCCGTCTGGAGTCCATGCAGACTACGAGAAAATGTCATTGATAGTGATACAAATAATAATTATCATGATAACAATACATCGTCATGGAGATGGAGAATGGGATAACGGTCACGGACAGTAGCATTGTTCAAAACACGACAATGGCCGCATTATCGCCAGTCATGTTCAGCCCTAGGTAGCATATGCAGAGGCGAGGACGAAGGACTGTTGAAAGGTTTAGCAAAACCTAGTTGGATCATGTGTCTGAATTGGCCTTAGTTGCCGCTAACTTGTCAAGTGGTAATCACCATGGATGTGATCGCACGGGGTGTTATAACGGTAGGGGAATTTAATGAGGACGTTGTCGCCTTATTCTATCTGCGCCTGACTAATATGCCTATCTGCTTCTGGTACCTTCCGATTCAACGAACCACGCAAATATCAAAAGACAAAAGCTGGCCTGTGACTGTGTATTGTAGTACAACAACTACGACAAAGAAACTTATTTAGGAAATGGTATTTATACATTTTTACAACCAATACAGACAGCTAACAGTATTTGAAATAATTGGTCGTAATAGTCAATAACAAAATGCGTGGGAATGATGATATATCACTTATGCGAGATTAACAGTCGTTAAAAATAATTGAACAATAACAAAGTGCGTGGGATCCTATCACGGGGTTGATCCGTTGTGATAATATTATCAGTGACTGTATGAGGTACATCCTCAAGATTTAAAGACAGCTTAAGAATTTTCAGAAAATGCTGCAATAAGGTGGGGAAAGTGTAATTCTCCGGTTCCTCTATACATATGCTATGAACCGAGTAATCTGATATGATTCCTTACATCAAATCCCTCCGAAATACACGCTACGTAGTGAGTTTGTCTAGGAAATGACTACATTAGTTTGTAGGACATTGGAAGAGGAATTATTGTGTTAAAATTACTGATAGCTCTCCCAAATAACATAAAAATGTTACTTAGCATCCACTTGTATTTCCATATGGGTGACAATCATCCACACCTATTGTGTGGGGGATAACAACACTGCCTGGTTGCCCAAACATTGGTACATGTAGCGGGCCAAGTCTCTGGCACGTTGGTTAATAATCAGGTACCTAAACCAATGAGTCACAGCTCATACGCAGATGATACTAGGCTGCACCGATTCCCTGTAAGAGAACTTCAGCAATATGCTTTTAGGAAGCTTCCGAATTTCAGCCGTTTTGGCAAAGTAGGCTTAAAATTTACTCGTAGACTAGTCAAAATAGGATTGTTTCCTGTAAACCGCTCAATGGACTTCATCTCTTCCTCACTTGGCACACGTTCTTACTGGTGCTTTTTTGGAATGGAACAGCTGATGGAAAGCATGAAGTCCTCTTAGACAGTACCAGGAAACACGGGCTGTATACTTGTGAGATACATCTGCTTGTATGGAATGAATGGTTTAGTTCTTGTCGCTTATCGATTATCACTCCTCCCAACTTATGAGTCAGCTACTTAAATTCTGCAGTGACATATAGTGGGAAAATAAAACAGAAAAGCCGACATCTTTTTAGATAAAGTTTCCATTGTCCTCCTACTTCTGGTTTGTTGTCTTCCAAATAATTATGTCTTTGAAGATATGAATTTAAGTCAGTCCTCAGCCTATATCGACGGACTTTGGTTCACCACATAAAAAAGATTCATTAGGGATAGGCATGCTAACTGAGGTAGGTGCTATACCATCATCTAAGGTGCCTCTCCCACTACTGTCGTCCCGCGATTAGCTCTGTAATGTGTACCAGTGAGAGAAAAACAACACTACTTAATTTGATCGTAGCTGTAGCACTATGATAACGACGCGTGTTTGAAAAGCACGAAAGTAAGAAGAAAACAGAATAACAATAAGCTTTTCAGAAAGATAAATGTAACACGGGCCTTAGTATGCAAAGTCTGTGAACAAGTTGACCAGAAGAGAGATAGTCCTTATGAGCACTTCCTGTTAGAGGTTTACGCATGGTGTCTTATTTGCGATAAACAATAGTTTTCAGGAGATACAATTATACCATTCATAGTGAATTCAAATACGTTCATTTCACACTGAAGCCTGTGCTGAAGATGTTGTCTAGAAGGACAATGAAGGCTTCGCAATTAAACTAACCAGCTCAGAGTAAACGACTAAACCAAAAACTTTACTTCTCCCATACCCTGAAACATCTAACTTTAAAACAACGAACAAATTGTTGATTGGCAAAATACCTTCAGTATTGTTTAAGAATTCATATGTCAGCCTAGAGCGTCTGATAGGCAAAGGTTGATGCATTGCGAATACGTGTCACTTTACCACCCTTAATAATCCTGATGGGTTTTAGTGCCCTGTTAATAAATAGATTACCTAACTTGTGATCTGAAAAGTTGGTGAAGTTGAGGTCTTCAATGAAAAGACGGAAGCGTTCGATTGAGGTTAATATAACTCCATTATGGATAAGATTTTATTTTGATAAATCACACAGTTTTGTACAGTATTATTAACTGATGACGTTTCGAGCACAAACTATTGCTCATAATCATATCAAGTTACTGACACAACTTTTTTGCTTCATTTATAGACATGAGTAAAATCAATTAGACATTTGAATACTCTACCACAGTGCCCAAGTTTTATACTTGGAAGCTAATATGTTTGAAGTCTCGCGACCAAACGTTCTGAAGACATAGACTTCCTTTTGCCAAAGTGAGCTATCCAGCTGTTGTTACAGTGGAACTCCCAAAACCCTACTTGATGCATTAACCGATATTCTAAGAGGAAGGTGGACATCTTTGTGTACTGATATAATGATATCTGTTGTGGTTGTCTTAATCCAAAATGTTTAGAGTTTCGAATTCATCCTTTGCCAGTTTAGTTAAAATGTGCTTGCGCTGAGGAATAAATCAGTGGTAATGAAATGTCCGCAGAGATTTTTGAAGGATATAGTATTTAAAAAGTTTTGTATTACTTGTACCTTAAGAAGTCAAGGGCAAGTGATATTTTCATCGACTAAATGTCCAGAAAATGTAAAAGAACAGATGGCAATATAATATTTAGCTAAAATGATCCAGTATCCAACTGGTTTCGGGAAAACGTGATGCAATCATCTTTCTGGAGATCAACCATAAGAATGAAATTGTCAACGCTGCAGTAAACTGGGCTGAGAAAAGCGATATGTCAGACAGTATCAAGGATTAATAGTCTCTCTAAAGAATCAGTCAACTTATGCGTCTACGCGTTTATCAGTAACTGGTAACGTTGTTAAACATCAGCAGTGATAAAAACGTAGAGTAATAAGCGACGAAGCCGAGATATTTTCAACAGCACACGAAATATCTACATTATATGGCTATTGAGAAGTCAACCACAGATGCTTTTCAGTCGAATGATGCTAGCTTCTCCCTCAGTATCACCCTGGAGGCGTATCTGTTTTGAAATGGATAATTTTAGTATTCACTCACAAATATGGCACATATGTTTTCTAAGCTACTGGATATATTCCCAAAGTTATATTATTTCATTAGTCTACTATTGCTCATAATTAATATACATATACATATCTTTATAGAAACGGCGAAACTTTAGATATGTATTTATATGAACATGAAGAGTATTTTTGAAATCAAACAACTTCAGGAAATAAGATAAAAAATGAAAATTGAGCAAAATGGTTTCATTAAAGTAGAAAGCACTTTATGATAAACTTAAATGAAAGATGGGCAGTATTATAAGTTATATGTAACTCTCTTGAGATTTTTTAACTACGCTAAAGGTAACTCGACATATCCATAATTTCATCTCCAAAAACCAAAATTTATTCTCATTTACAGTTGATTGGTGAAAAGCTTAGTTTTGACCTGCTAGTACTCAAGCATTTGATAAACGATGAAGAAGATCTTTGGCAACAGGGAGAAATTCAGTGGACCATGCTGCTTCCCAAAGTGTCAAACAGTCAGATTCAGTAATTAAACTATCTGATAACAATGCATTGTGTATTCGCGTGACAATATTTGTATCTACAAAAAGACAGGAGGCATAGTTTAATTTTTTTAGAAGTATTAAATTTTGATATGACAAATAGGCATTGTTACCACATTTAAGGCCTTTGAAAATATAAATCACTGAAAGCAAGTCACATTTACAAGAATAAAAATGTACTACAGAGCTCTAATAAACATCCGTAAATAAGTAACTACCCAGTTTATATCACATAGGTGGTTTAGCGGTAGAACGCTTTCCAACCACGTATGTGGTCCAGGGTTCGATCCCCGACCGACGCACTCTGTAACCTCTCTAAGCCAGTAGAAAGGCCAGTAAAGAGCGAAGGTTGGGCGTGAGGTTAGCAGCTCCACCCCGTAAAAAAATAAAACCAATGCTATCGAAATTTCATAACTCTAGCTTGAAGCCACATGTTCCACTTGGAACGCAAACGAATAAAAAAAAACATTGTATGTGGATATTGCTATGTCACAGAATGAATTCATCTCTACCTGAGGAAGTTCACTTTGTAAAAACATGCCAGAAAACTAAAGAGGCATAATAATACCTTCGTCTTGTTGATTATTATCAATAATTTCTAGTTCCAGCGTTTTTACTGAACCGAGCACATTTTCCTGTGTTGGCATGAACACGAATAAATTCCTTGCTGTTCTTGCGACTTCCATCCACACATTTCTGATTTATTGGTGGCTATTAGAAAAAATGATGGACTTACAATTCATCTTAATTTAAACTTTTTGGCATTCTGATGTTTTCACTCGAGTTCAACATCAATTACTTCAAACTTCACAGTTTTTATTCACTACACTATAGAATCATGCGATTAAAATTTGCACAAATGATATTATTTTGCTACTAAAGATTCATTATTTTCCATTCAGGATTAGGGATTTGTGGGTTACATTGATTATCATTTGGTAAACAGCTGTTAATTATTTTCTAGTGTTACGTTGATTGAAACAAAACAACCGACTTGAAAGCATATTTAACTTCATATAATCGTATGACGAAGCAATGAAACTGTCTATGAAAGGAAATTCTAAGTTCCAATTTGAATATCATGATTTTTCACTTAACTTATTTTCTGTATTTGTATTGTAAGACTAGAATGTAGAATATATATATCAGATGAATTTATTTGATTTAAAACGCTGATACAGTATTAATAACTGGGTGATGTTATGAGGACAATTCATTGTTCGTTACCATATAAGTGTATCACAAAATAAGGTGGGATACGATGAAAGTATTAAAAAGTAATATAGTTGGGTTGAGGGTAAAGTTAATTACCGGATTTTTGTTCATTGAATCAGTACAGAGTACATGGAATAGGAATGACTCAACATCTATTCGAATATATGGAGAAATATATTGAAAAACAAGAGGGGTTACAACTATTTTGTTATGTGAAAATAGTGGTATGACTATGAAAAATAAATTGTCCTCAAAACATCACCCAGTTATTAATACTGTATCACTGTGTTAGATCAAAAAAGAACTTATCTAATATGCATTCGTACATATTAGATGGTTGAAGGCAATCAGCAGGAAACCTTGAACCTAGGTTTCGTGCTAGTTGGCACTGATCAGCAAGGCGTATCTGCATTCGTACATTTTATTACTTATGAATCACCTAATGGAATCACTACACTGCGTTTCAAGTATATGATATGTGAAAAACAAGGAGAAAAATACCACAGGGCATAAGATTACTTTTATGTTGATCAGTAGACATTGCTTGTTGGTTAAGCAGAACAATAATCCCCTTCTTACATAACTAAAGAACCAGTAACATTCATTAAAACAGAAGCAGACTTTTAAGTACATTAGTGATTTCAAATCTTAGAACAGCCGCTGAAAGCCCTTTAAATATCTAAATCTCAATATCTTTTGAATTAGTTATGTTCTCTGAGCTGGTTGGGTTAATTACGTAGCTGTCGTGGTCCTGGGTTTTGGTATGGAATCAACATCTGTACTAGAATTAAGCAATGAGTATTTCACTTGTGTTCTCAAGTAGTAGTAAATGTCATAGAATCTCCCAAAATGAGACAGTTTAGTCCATATTTGATTTAATGAATCTGCATATTTACATATTCTCAATTCACTCAAATGGTCCTACACCCGTCAGTTTATAGTATCAAGACTTTTCATTTTTAAAGCCTGAATAATCTTGCCTGTTCAGAAGATCACGATAACAAGAACAGCGTATACTGTCATTAAAAGTGTCAATGAGGACTACTTAAAGTGATAATATCCTCTTTTATCTGCGATTTCATTGTGCACATATGAGTTTATAAGATTTTATATTTAAGACTAATGTTAGTTGAGGTTTTGTACAAGCGACGTAAGCATAAAATGATGTGCAAATATATTTCCACAAATCTACTTGCAGGATGATCTGTGAACTATCCTGTTTGGTAGATCTCTTTATGAATGACTTGTTGGAAATGAATGATACCCTGTCACCTGAAATAAAATATAGTTAATCATATTATTATTATTCGTTCTTTATTATCACAAAACTGTAACAAATTTTAAAATATTTTATTCTAACAGAATTATCCAGCTGAGTTGAAGCAACAATAAAAATGCTACCATTTTCAGTCTGCACTTCAACTCAGTTTTTCTGCAAACTCAAACATGTTATTTCAATGAAGTTTCTGCGTCACTTTTAGGTTATCTTCATTTTAGACAACATTTAGGCAATAAGTTTGTAAAATCGGGTTACATTACTCGGAAATAGGCATTTCTTTACTACTGGAGTATACTTACCGGTGAATTCAGTTAGCAGACTGAACAGTTCATTCATTATCTCTGGATCGAAAAGTTCTCTGAACGATTCACCAACTAACTCTGTATAATTCCATAATGCTTTACATGATAATCCAGCTAACTGCCAATCATGTCCAGCAAAATCTCTCAGAATTTCCAAGAGTCTAAGAAGAAATTTATCAAAATTTCGAAAGATTTATACAATATCGATTTTTACAGTTGTATTCTAAAATGGGATCTTACATTACAAAGAAATTTCTGCAGTTTTGTTTTCACATAAAATGCAAACAAAGAATAAGGAAACCTTTTTGATTCAAAATTTATTTTATCTTATCCACCGTAGAGTTGAAAGCTTTCCATGCAATTTGTTAAAGCAATTAGCCTCAAATATATTTGCATTTTTACCTCGAGTAACTTTCATATTTCTTATGTATAAGAACGTGGTAACATGATGAACGTAAAAGAATGATTGGATTTTGACTTTACTTTCATCTAAAATCATAAATGCGGTTATTCAAAAACAGCTTTAGAAATTTATCACTGAATACATTCCACAATAACATTTTATCAGTTATCCTTAATCGTCTTATGAAGAGATGCATAAATGTGCTGATTACAAGTAAGTCGAACCAAGCGATTTGTCATTTATTCTGGGTACTTTTCACGACAGAAACACAGATTAAGTGAATTCGATTGAAAATAAGTCACAAAGGCATGAAAAGTATAAAATATTAACTCAGCAGAGCCGAAAACACTTTCATTCTTCTCATGAAACCTAAATGCTGGAATAAATAGTTTTATTTTTCAAGTATAGGTTTTGTAGGGAATTTTGTTTGATTGGTAAGGGGATTTCATCATGATCTGACATCAGTTAGAGAACCATTGGAAAACCTAGGAGTACTGGACGGCTGTTTCGTCAGCTCATGATGAAATCCTCATATCAAATAGAGTTTTAGTTTATTCCTTAACCTCAAGAAAAAAAAAGTTTACTTTTACGACTGAAGGTTGTTTTCAAGTAATTCAATAAGTAAACTCGACTACAAACTTTAATGAACAGTTCTGAATGTCCTTACGAAAGAACAGTTAGTTTACAGATTGCTTATGCTCTGTATTTCACAAATAACTTTTCCTCTGGAAAATCTTTAGTCAACATACAATAATATGATGAGAAAATGCTACTTTCATACATTTATTTTTCCTCATTTCTCTAGAATAAAAGTGATTTTTTAAAAATTTACTAATTAGAATTAGTTTTTTGATGAATAAATAATTCATACTTTTTAATTAATTTCTAATTAATATTTTATCTAAAGCCTAAGAGCAGTGCAATAGCTTTCAGTCATTTGAACCGTATCTTTATCTGCATAATATCTGCTAAGACTAGGTAAGCAGTACATTTTCATTTATCTAGTAAAATGACATACGAAAAATTGAAGGCTGTTAATCTGCTGAAAGTTGGAAAAGATTACCACAGGAAGAGAAAATATGAAAAGAGATGTCTTTTTGATGAATAGCTTATAAAATGACGTTGAAACATTGGGAGCAACATATTCAACACTGAGACTTGAAAATATCGTATTTTCCTACTTTAAATAGAATCGTAACGTACCTTGGTAAACCTTCAAGAGTTCGTAGCATTGGTCTTTGCTCGATGTCTGTCATCAAATTGATAAGCACACCTAATGTACTGTAAACCAGGTCTGGTCGTGAAGAATCTAATGCCTGGATAAGTAGATAGAGGAAGGCGTTTTGTTGACCAAGCTCATTTAAATTTTTGTCATCATCGTTATCATCAAGTGGACCACGATTACTAGCAGTAACCTGTAACAGACGATTGGAATTGCAGTTTAACCACTGTCTTATCGTTGAATGACGTGTCAAATTTCCAAACACACGTATAATACCGAGAAATTCGTCTTGATAACCAGAGGTTTTATTCATAGCCCGTAACAGACCTACAAATTAAGAATTAAAAGGATCGAAACAAAATGATTTTAGAAGAAACCTGTTTTTCTATCAATACGATGCTACGATATTTTTTTTAACATTGTGAAAGCTTCAGTGGATCAGAGTTAACATGTTAGAAAATATTTACTCTATTCCTTTCGTCATGTTAAAGCTCTATCATTTTAAGTTAAAACCAAAACCATTCCATATAATGGCGCATTTTGACCTCTGATTTGTAGTAATTATTTATCCACAAAAAAGAATACTATTACGAAAAAACTATTTGATAACTTACTTTCAGCTATTTCACACTGTTTTATGACAGATTCTTCGGTTAAATCATTTTTGATGTAATAAGTTAAATTGTTTAAACAAGCGAAACAATTGAGCAGTAATTCATTTGGTTCACCCGTATGTTGATTCTCTGTAGTACAAAGTGAAAAAGAGTCCAGCTTCAGACGAATCAAATAATGCACGAAAAAACTGCAGAGGCATGTAAAACGGATTATGCTGTTCAATAGAAGGCAGTAATGAACAATATTTTCAAAGAAACTTATTTGATTTCTGCAGTTTAAAAACAGTGTCAAAAGATTGACACTAGGTTTAAAACAAACTACAGTCTTTATATGAGACGAAATCTATACACAAATTTAAAGCATACTGCTTGCAGTGTAAAGAAAATGCATAAAAAGTTACTTCTGGATTAGGAGGTAATTATTTCCATGGTATCATCCTGAATAGAAAGATAGGAAGGTTGCTGCCTCTTAGTTTGGAATCCTTTATGGGTGAATGACGTTCGAATTGTTCTGAATCGTGCTCATCAGTTTCAAAACATGAGGTAAACAAACAACCACAAAATTATTTAGAGTGAATGCTAATATTTCTAAGTTTACAGTGATGTGGTTTTGGAAACGGCTAGGAGGCAATGATATGCATAAGAAACCCGCCGATATATTCATAAAGATGACCCTAAGGCGTACTACAACTCTACTAATATAATTTACTGAAGATAAGGTTAATCAGTTGGTCATTTAAAAAACTTTTATAGACCTATACTCACACTTTATGTATAACATACATTATCCAAACCTTTACTGTAAGGTACAACAACAATGATAAAAGAATTATTGTTGATTACGTAGTCAAAAAAATTAATGGGATTACAGGCTACTTCTCTCGACAGTAAGTACACATTAGGATGTTTGTGATGTTGTCGACCTGTAGCTAGACATCTTGGATAATACAACTCGGCATATGCTGCAGCGAGCCGGAGAAACTCAAGTTTCATCTCCTTTCAAACCACTTCTAGTTGCATACATTTCTTCTTAACTAAGTTTTCTCTTATTTGCAATGAAATATCGAAGCAAAAATTCTTAAAAACCGCCTTTCTGAATGTCTGAAGAAGACATTTCAAGCAGCCACCTTGCGTATTAAATTTTCCAGCAGATAGTTAATCCAGTATAACTTTAAGGAGAAGATATTGCTTTCGGCCACCTCAGTGAGTATTTATCAATTTACTTGCTCGTGTGGAGTGAAGTATATCCACCGTACGCAATGTCAAGTCCAAAAACGTATTCTGGAACATTATCCAGCTTGGTCAGCCAGAGGAGGTAGGAAGAATAGTAGCAGCTCCATCCCCGAACACCTTGTCATCTCTGGACATCGAACACTCCTCCCCGCATGAATGCTTCCCAGTGCTACACACAGTCCCTCAATATCGTGCAAAGAGACTTCGCATATGTCATCTGAACATAGCTGAATCATTAGCTATTCGGCATCTGAAATTGGACCTCTGCATTCAAAAGTGCTACATACATTCGCTCGCCTTACCGTTGCCGGAGTAAAGTTCTTACTATAATTTTGCTTCTTTTTATTATCTTATGAAAGTGAGTTGTCGAAAAGAAAATTTTCTTCGCTGTTTACGTCTCTTTCTTATGACTCAATATGGGGATATTTCGTTTATGAAATATTTGTATTTAAGTTCTGTTTATGCACATGACCACTTAAACTGACTTTTTTAACAAGTTGTATAATATCATTATAAAATTATCTAAAATCGTTTTAACTGGTTTAGAAAATTGTCCCACAACATTCGTAACATCTGTGGGCTGGATATATGGATATATATATATATACATATATATATAAAGATGTGGTAGGAGATTTCCTGAAATGAAATGGGTAATATTGATGATAATAATGAAGACACAAATATTGCATATGACACAGTTTAAACGATCATTTTTCAGCTATAACAAAAACCTACCTGTGATTTCCAGGATCAAATTTATACAGTCGAAATTTGTTGTACATAGAAATCCGACAGTATCACTAATAGTGACGTTAGCAATAATCCTTAACAGTTTCACTAAGATATCGTATTGTGATGTATATGCTACACGGTTGGATTTATTCAACGCAACCGTTGCGCAGTCACTTGATAGGTCTAAATAAAGTGAAAAAAGGGAATTCGAAGGACATGACAACAGAATTAACAGAGGAATTAGTCTTTGAAGAAACTAACATAAAAGGAATTCGATGGTATCAAAGTACTCTGTAATGGAAAAGTTATTAGATAGAAATATTTGTAATTTAAACGTATTTAAAATATCCTTTTAGCATCCAGTGTTGACCAAGATATCAAGACACATAAAAGTAAAACCGGTTACGATGCTTTATGGTTAACAGAGAAACCATTTTATTATTTAAATAAAAGAAGTGTGTTGGTATAATCGCTCATGACAAACTTAAACATCGAATATGCAGAGTAGTTATGCTTTTATGTAATTCCATTCTTAAGTCATTTTAGAAATAAAACAAAGGACAAATTCCCCAGTCTGTTGAACTGCTAACTTAGTTCTCTTTTTGTGTAAACCCTAATAACAATAATATAAGACTGATGTGTTTACAATGACAAAACATGCTGTCTGCAGACTTGATTTCATTGCAATAAAGGTTTTTATATTTCCCAATGAATGAAAAACAAAACGATATTGTTTTTACTGACGTTTCGCTATTTAATGCTAATAGCTTTATCTAAGTATTATTAAAGTATTATTAATAATACTTAGATAAAGCTATTAGCATTAAATAGCGAAACGTCAGTAAAAACAATATCGTTTTGTTTTTCATTCATTGGGAAATACAAAAACCTTTATTATAATGAATATCATATACCCAGTGCCCAAATTTTTTCAAACTGTTAATTTGATTTCACTTAAAAAATACCATGAAATAAGTACTGTGCCTAGTAAGAACCTTAAGCTAAAAAGTAAATTGGCTCGCTGATCAAAGCAGTCAACTGTCTACCATCCGATTACACTTTCAAATGTAATCTACTTATTCCTAATGGAGTAACAAGACTATGTCACTAAGCAATACATAGTTCTTGTAAATTCCGGCCTAGGAAACACATTTGTGCGAAGCTTCTTAGTCGCCTTCCTACCACAGTGTGTGACACAAGCAATTAATTAAGTATAAAGAGAATACAGAACACACATGTTTCATAGGTTCCGCAGTGTACGAATTATTCCTAATTAGCTTAGTCATACATTATCTCATAAACAGAATAAAATTTCCAATCTTCAGGTTAACGAGCCAAATTGGCTCATGAAATTCTTCCCATAAAAAGAAATACAACAAACTCAACAACCATTTATAACGTCGTCTGTCTTACCACAGGTTACCTGTTTGTATATCGAGTATAATGATATCGAAGTGAGACTAAAAACAATGAACTTTTGAAAACCATGTTTAAACTTATAAGTTGGAGTGAATTACACTACCAAAGTTTCAATATTTGTGCAACAAAATGAAACCTACTACTGTTACTACCGCTGAGCATGGTCCAACCCTTTTCAACATTCTTCGGCTCACATGAATTCTCGTCGGTTGCAGAATGATCAGTCGCTTTGCTAGGTATCGGTGAATTATACTGGCGGCAAAATTCACACAATTTTAATAATGACTCTTGATTAGGCAAAATTGCAACCCGTGCACGTTCACATCTAGCAGCCAGATTTCCAAGTACATAGACAATTCTTACAACAAGGTCCTAAATGAGGTAAACATATAAAAGTAAATGAATTTGAAAGATGTCTTCACTAGTGTCAATGATACAGGACTGTTTAAAATAAAATACAACAGTAGCTTCACTTTCAACTTCAATAGATGCATATCGCATGAAAAGACTTTTTTAATCACAAAAATATATCTGCTGGTTATTCATGTCACATACAATACTCCTCAGATGTAAGATTATATCAGTTCAATTCTGTTCAAGGCAAGGGACTTCGGATAGATATCGAAGTGGAATAAACCCACCAGAACTCAGTTTAGAAGTTTATAAAAGCTACATTATGTGATGGGGTTAAATAGTAGTTAACTAAGTTGTAGCATATATCATTATGGTATGCGGATTGTCCCAACAAATCTTAATACGGTCTATAGTTTCAGATAAGTTTAGAAACTATGAAAAATGCCCATGTTATGTAATTCAGAACACATAAGATCTCTTTTCGTAAATTCATTTTATTTAAAAGCTCCTAATTAGACTGTAAGTCTTGACAATCTAAGAACTTTAACAGATAAACATGATTTAACGACCTTAAGGATTATTATTTTCTAGCTAACAGTTACACTTATGAATTATCACTAAATACGAAATTGCACCTAGTGGACCGACCATTTCAAATGGTCTACAAGCTCACTTTGTAACCAGAAGGTCCTGGGTTCGAACCCTGGCAGTGGGTGCGTACTGATGAAGAGTCCCAAACTAGGACGAAACAGCTATCCAGTACTCCCAAGTTTTCCAGTGGTTCTCTAACCAATGTCAGCTCATGATGAAATCCTGTAACCAATCAACCAAATCCCTACAAACCAATACTTGAATATTCCAAATTATGCTATACCACCTTTCCGACTCTGAATACATCATTAACACACTTCTAGTCATCTCTACTTGAGGTTATTTAATAAAGACAAAAAATAATGCAGTCCATTTAAGTTTATATAATAAATGGCATACCTCATTTTCTTTATAGAAATATAATGAATACATCAACGTCTGACACAATGTTGTAATTCTTGTCAATACGGTCTTGGAGATGTTTAATGGATTTTCGTGCTTATCATTAGCATACAGATTGACGTTGTCTTTCACAGATATTAACCAATTTTCTAAATGATGACAAACATCTGCATGTTCAGTTAAATGAGATAAACATCTTATCCAATTAAAGTAAACAGTATAAAATTCTGAAAAACTGAATACTGTAACACTTTGTATATCTTTTACAGTAACTTGTTTACGGATGTACTCGTGATAACTGATAATACAATTTACAATATGCTCCAGTATACCGTCATGCACCATTAGTTTTGGACGGAATGAATCCATGGAACTCAGATAACAAAAAATCTCTGTAACCTGTTATTAAAAGTAAAGAAAAAAACGACAAGCTGATTTTCACAACTGTACGTAAAGTTATTAAGTATAAATTACCCGCTAGAATTCTATCTTCCGATGTGTAAAAAGACGATGGACAAATTCCTAAGGCTTGTAAAACTTACGTATAAAAACATCTGTCTTCATAGATAGACACTAGGGACCATCAATGTGTTTAGGCACGATATGATCTAAGGTTAGGCTGACAAAACATGTCTAGGAAGCGAACAACAGACAATTTAAGTGGGAGAATAATTCATCTTGAATCAGCATAATTCAAAATAACTCAATTTTCGATAACCACAGAACAAATGTTTATGGATGGGCGATGGTACGGCATTATTCATAAAATACACTAGCTTAAATGAGCGCCACTAGGATACTGGTAAAGATTAGGCATTTCTGATGCAATAGGTCATATTCACTGACATGAAACAATGAAGATGCAATTTCATAAATTTAATTGAGAAGCCTGTTGCCTAGATATGAATATCAAACAACATCTGCTGCCACGGACTAACAAAATTTGTTTATTGAAACTAGTGAATTTAGCGGTATGCTTTAACATCACTCTTAAGGGATTGGTGGTACTTTTCAAAAAAAATATATACATATAATTGCCGCGAAGTTGTATAATTTTCAAAAGATGTTACAGTGTTTATGAATAGTAAAGTTTACTATCTGAAATTGCTTAATGTTTACTTATTAGATTGAGCAAGCAGTCACCCTGATTCACTGTTGAGACTATTCTTTTCTAAAAAGCGATTAACGATTTGTAATCATCATGACTGGTAAGACTGCTGATTACATCATTACGATATATCAGCATACCTTATTTCAGCTGAGGTAGTGTATATCGTGTTAACATGCAATTTTACACCCAGATACTATAGTTGCTCAATAATAGTGAAACACAGATATGTAACACATCATACACTACTCCAGAGAGAATACATTTTTTACCAACAACTTTTAATTCATGCTGGTTATACGTTTATTTCAAAAAGAGAAACTGTTTTATATAAAAATATAAAGCCTAAGATATCAGAAATAGAGTAAGAAATTAAGTGACAGTAAAACTAATGAAAACCTTAAACTCAGATTCAACTTTATATTTATTTAAACATATTCCGCGGCCAATAGTCACAATAAACGATAACCATAAAAAGTCATAAAAAGGTAGGTGGGGACATTGATCCGTATTAATTATTGAAATCAAGATAATTGCTTGTTAGTATGTTTGTATTAGGAATACATATCTCGATACCTTTATGGCGAACTCACTAGAATTCATTCAATAACTCATTACACTATTGTATGTTGACTAAAGATTTTCCAGAGGAAACATTATTTGTGACATACATACATACATAGATACAATCTGTAAGCACATTCAAAAGTGTTCATTAACATATAAAACCTTTTGATCTACCAATAATTGTTCAAAAGATATGTGGATAGGAAGAACGGATGAGTAACATGGTGTTAACAATTACACAAAACTAAGAGTTTCAAGGTACACTCTCACCTGCATTAAAATATGGTATGAATGTTGTATAAATGTATTCACATATTCCTTATTACTATCATTAGAATTATCCTCCTTCTCAGTAGTACATAACGATTGTTGATATTTTGCATTATTACATAAATAGAGTGATAATTCAAATATCTGTTGATGCAGAATCATTAGATTTTGCAAAAACTTTGGAATAGAATGAAATTTTTCCATAAAATTGACATTACTTATAAGGAATTTGATTGTTCCTGTTACAAATAACAAACTCTCTAGTTTTAAACAAAATAATGTTGAATTCTGAAGTAAATTATCCAATGTAAAAGATGAGTAGAATGACTGACATGGAGTGGATGAGGAAGATGATATGGATGAAACAGGTACATCTAACAGTTGCATGGCTCCAATTAAAGTATCTGGAAAGATAACATACATATATCAGGAAAAAAGGCTGTGATGGTAGCGTCAGATGTAAATTTATGGATAAATTTATCTTTCATGGCTTATATAGATGAGAAAAAACGCCAGTCACTGTTTAGGTTCATGAACATAACATGAAACTGCTTTAATACTGCAGTAATAATTTTTAAGACTATTAACTTATTCCTGTTAACAGTTTCTCTTAAAGAGTGGTCCAGACTACTCAGATCGGTCACTAATAGCCTAAACTTACAAACTAAAGAATTATCAAGCCGTTCATACATTCCAGTAGTCTATTCTACTAGTCTGTCTTTTGTATTCTGTTTTATGGAATGGCTCAGTGCTGTGTCTTACATTATTGTGACTAGTTGATTTTGATAATACGAAATAACTACAATGACGGTCAAATAGCCATCCTATGTATATAAGTTTTCGAGAAAACAATTTTCAAATCGGCGTTCTTACAAGAAAAAGACTTACTTTCAGATGGATGAAAATGTTGTCCACATTTTCACCATTAGTAAATACTAAAAACAATACCCCCTCCAATGAACAACCCGCAGATGAGTAAACAACTGCAGGATTCGAGTTGAATTTTTTTTGAATTCAAGTTTTTTGAGTAAGATTTCATATACAGACAATTTCCTAAAGTCCTTTGACTGTGATACCTCATAGGATAGCGTTATTAATTAACGACATATATGCATATTTCTGGAGAAAGGCGTCCTCTGGATATCACTAATTCACTTTATTTCTTTTAGTAGTATCTACAGATGTACATATTGAACCTCATAGTGCTTAAGTCTTTGATTATGTTCTGTAGTTTAATCTATGAGACTTAAACAAAAATAAGCAGCTGCAAAATAATCACAAGAGGTACTGTGGGATTAAAGGAGTATTTCAAAACTCACCGAGTGTATCCGAGTTTTCCAAAAATAAGTAGTCGTTGTCAGGATCTTTAGCTACTCTGTATACAATTTTACAAATATTCGATAGATTTCTGCCAACCACATTCATCTGAAATAGAAGGCACATAATTCAGATAAAGATGTCAGTAAATCTTTAAGAATAGGACAAAGTATGGAAACAAATGCCATTCTGTGTGCTTAGTATTTCAGTAAATTTGTTTTCAGGAGACACAAATAAAGAGGAAAGACAGTGTTAATTCAACAGCTTAATGAATTTTTAAAATGAGGTGATACAAATGGGTTCCGCCAAACGGTAATGCAATATTCAAGGTTTATCAACTGCCTTGTTAAAAAAGACACTAAAAGTTATGAATCACTTATTAAAAAGTTGATTGCTTTTTTTCAAAACTACTAATGAATCAAGGTTAGTTTCATTACATATCGGTGTTAGGAAGAAGAACTGTTAACAATCAAGGATCACTGGAACACTAATTCTTAAGCACTGAACATCCTCGTTTGAACTGTAAAGTTTTAAGACAGACAGGTTACAGTTTCGCTGTCAAGTTTGAGCCGACCGACCTCAAACCTCCAATTTCTAGCGACTCCTGATATAATGCCGCTACCAACCAATGTAACAGATGAGTATCTCTCCTAATTTCCACTGATCACGAGTTTCCACAACATGTTTAAAATGTGGGAACTAATAAAGGGGAATGTAAAACACTAAGAAACCAACACGAAGTTTTATAATTTATGAAGTTAACTTTCCTAAGACCTATACACAATATCTTACTGAACTGGAGTCCTTAGCAATTAATGATGAAAATGCAGTGAATATGGTATGTCTAAAGCGCAAGCTAAATAATGGGTGTTGACTAAGGAAAATAAACCACAGAGTAATACTCCAGTTTCATACTAATTTCTCAATCATACATAACAAAATACAAAACAATAAATCTTGAATCAAAACTGTGACAGAGATTGTGTAGTACATAAATAAAGTGGGTACTCCCCCTGTATAAATACCAATACATAATACATGAATTTTAAGAAAATGAACCATAGAGACTCTACAAGGCAAGTTTCAGTCTGTTAATGCAATAAAACAAACCAGTACTCACTGAAAATACCAGCTTTGCAATGGTTAAATGTAGTCTTGATGAAGGATAATTTATTAGATCGAAAACGGATTTCAGAAGCGTTGATCGGCTGGACGAGTTCTGATTTCCTTCTAAACCGAATTCACTTATGTAACTGGTGATACGATTCAATAAATCTATAATCTTATCTTCATCCAGTTTGTTAAAAATGAATGTTGAGTGGTCTTCATCGTTCTCATCTTCCTGTTGTACTGTGCATTTTGATAAAGGAATTATTTCATCACTCTTTCCTTTATGCTCGTGATACGGTTGGACTGATTTATTGTCTTCAAATAGTATTTCTAGATCAGGGGTTCTAGGATTTTGTATATTTAGAGGTGATAATAGTACTGGTGCTACATTTGGTGATGATGACGGAGAAAATGACAATTCACTCAGTTGATAAATTAGATGATCCAACTCTGTTCCAGATGACAGTCCAGAGTCACCGGAAGCAGACGTTTGAAATTTGTCGGGTAAATTTATTTTATTGATGTTATAATTGACTTGACGTTGATGTTTGGTATGTGGACCACTGGATTTAGGCTAGTAAAAATATTTTTTGAAGATAAGACAATTATTTGTCAGTTAAACAAACAGGTAGTCTGAAACTTGTAAGAATATATATATATATAAATTGATCAAGCAGTACATCCTAAAGCTTTCCAGCGCTTACCACAGACACGTTAGACAAAAAGGTTACTAATTAATTATTAAATTTTAAGAGTTTCAAAAATAAAGTAATCGAAGTTGTCAAATGGTTTGTCCTATAAAAAACGCAAAACAGATAGTAGAGTGTACGTTTGGTTGATAAACTTATCAACTCAGAAGTAATCAAATCTCTCTTAAACATTAGGGTCAGACATCTATCCTTATTAAGACAAATAAATCATGATCTATGTATTATTACTTATAATCCCGTTTCAGTGAAGTGAACATCTTTATCACATTTAGGCTTTGGATTATGATATTAACATTTCAGTATGGGTTGTTGTAGCAGGAATACAAATAGATTGAAATACCTGTAACTATTTCTAAAAATTTCATATATTATGGCATACTCCTTTGTAACCAAGAAATTGAATGCAGTGTAATGTTGAATTATATAAGAAGCTTAGATTCTACTCGTAATCACGTAGACTAGCCATTAAGTGAATAATACGTATGAATCTTAAGACGACTACGGGTATGTCTAACTCTATAGCCCTAGTGCATTTTCTGGGAACTATAATGCAAGGAATAAATTCTTTGTAAAAGTATACTCACATTCTATCAAACATACTGAGTCCACTGGAATAAAACAAAAACCAAACCGGATAAATGAAAAGAACATACTAGACATGGCAAAAAATATCACCGACGACATTTATGACAAATATCTTCTGAAAATACTTTGAAGGTGAAAACACTCCTCACTACTGTTTCTGTTTATTCAGTAAGCTGGACCATTCGTCCACAAACAATGGTGCACGGAAATACACACAAAATCATTCCAACGAAACCGACAATCTTAAAGTAGGCAAAATGAAAAGATTTTATTACCTACCAATCCCCAAATATATTCTGTAAAATTTTTTTTCTACCCTCATCTTCTTGTCAGGAGACATGGAATCAACAAAAAAGGCAATCATCATCATTATAGAGATTGTTGTATACATTACAGTATTGGCCTATGTTTTTGTCTGACAAATACCGACATGAGATTCTAGTAACCATGGCAAACTTTGTTTAAAAAAATCTGTTTATTTCTACATTGAAATACAGTCTCAAAGGGTATATATCGTTTGACTAAGGCATATATTTGCCAATTTCCAGTTAAAATATATGGCAAAAGTGTATTCTACCGGTAGTAACTTAGTACTTGAAAAAAAGCAACACTGGTGGTGTAAAAGAATATGGACTACAGAGTACAGAAGTACAAGTCCATAGTTTCCACATCAACATTGTTTCACAGCATATTGGTTAGTGACGAGAAATTGTAATTTTAAGAGCGGATATGAAGCATCGCACTGAGGTATAATTGTGTTAGTTCATCTGATCCATCCTACAGTGATGGGGTATCGTTTACGGGATAATGTTTTGAGAACAAATTGCTCTTCTTAGCTATATACTGTTATTTATCATAAAAATTTGGATAGTGTTATTGGAAGACGGTGGTTATCTGAAAAAAGTGGTGTATTTGTGCTATACATTTCGAACAATCTGATCACACATTTACTTAAGTCGATATATATGGAAAAAAATTAAGGGCAATTAAATTAAACAAAGTGACAAAAAAGATTTAAGAATAATTAACACAACGTTTGGTAATGCAATCAAATAAGGATTACCAAGGTAGGTTAAGGAAAATAATAAACTGTTTTGAACACAAAGGAGGGGGGTGCTTAAGTTTATCAGTAGCTATGGCCTCAGAGTAATTCAATAAGCGCCCTTGACCACTTTTATAGATAACCTCATATATATCGACTTGACAAGTAAATGTGTGATCAGATTGTTCGAAATGTATAGCGCAAATACATCACATTTTTAAGATAACCGCCGTCTTCTAATAACACTATCCAAATTTGAAAAGGCACTAATTGTTTTAAATTATCATAAAAGAACATGAGCAGCAAAGTGAACTCTAAAAAAACCCATAATAAATAATATCATATCACTGTTTATTCTACTAAGTAGGAAAACGAGTATGAAACCATTAAAGTCCCCCAACTAGAAAACAGTTAGAATTACTTTCCAATTAATTTCATCTCAGAAAAAGTACAATAAATATGGGAATAATGTTCACATTATGATTTAATCAACTGAAAAGAAAATATTCATCAAATTAAACAGCAGCGCCTTAAGGATAGTGAAAATCAGTGGATATGAAGAAAGCTGAAAAGAGTACTAATTAACTGAATTACTATGACAAACAAACCAGAAGAAGCAATCAAAAGTGTAGATCTAATCGAGAAGAACACAGGAATTAGAAGTAAAATGACTAACTGAATATGTGCACTGGAGTATTGATCAATTTACACCGATTCTATCAGTTAAATGAGAAGAATTCAAACAGTATGAATAAAAAGCATATGTTGAGACTAGAGTTAAGAATAACAGTACGAGGAGACAAACTGATAATACGAACACAGCAGAGTACACTTCGAACATCAGGATCGTCAAAATACTATCAGGAAAACTGTCATACTTGTTTTCTTCAGGTAGACAGATGATAATAATAATCACTTTATTCAAAACAATAATAATTATACAGAATGGGACTTTAAGCGTTAGCAAGATGAGATGGAAAAAAGCGTTCCTTTTAATTCTACACAACACGGGTTGATTACCCAGAACAGATAGTTAGTCGACAGTTAAATGTCATCGCCTGATGAACAAAAATATAAAAGAAACACAAAAATACAGATAATCAAGGTATGATAACGATCCAGGATTTTCTAAACTTCATTCAAAATATTCCTGGTTTCTAAAACGTACATATTCTTGAAGTCTGCTGATGAAACAGTTTCAAAAAATTGGCAAAATGAAAGACACCATACAATTAAAAACAAAGGCCACTAACCTTATTTTCATCAATAAGTGTTTTAGTAAGTTCCGTTTTAATGCTTGTAGAAATGACAGCAGATCGAACACCATTAGATCTCAAGTGATATTTATCCTCTTCAGCGATAAAAGCTGTTCTATTTGGTAACAAGTGTAAACCAGCTGGACTGTTTGGACGCGGTGACTGATTATCATCCAATGAGGAAAGTGTGGACACCTGTGAAGGACTACGACAAAAGCTGTTTGTCGATGCTTTCATATTTGTTTTAGTGGTACAAGAATATTTATTGGGTAGGACAGGACTGATTTTCGAAGATATACCTTTTATCTTATTTCCTTCCTCAAGCTTGTTTGCTAAATATTGTGGAGTGTTTGATATCCTTGGCGATCTAGAAATAAAACGGTAAAACAAACAAACTTAATTGAGGATACCATTATTTATGTTGCAGCGGCTAGGATTGTCAGTCACTTAAACTAAGTTTTTAAAAATTAAGATTAAACATTGTATTCCTACTGGTATCAAGAACATACCAGTCAGCTGAATGACTACTAAAAACTGAAAATTACCACTTTCGTGTTCATACTTAAACCTTATTCACTTCAAGTGTTTCCTACTCGTGGTAAAGACTAATGAAATGCAACAGAATTCTTCATATCTTCATGTGTAAACAGTGGGACTCGACAAAATGAGTGGATTTTTCAGTACATAATTTCTAATTCAAAATAAACCAATCTTTTGAAGTCGTTCGACGGTGATAAACTTGTTGACTGAGTATCAACAACCCCTTACAGTTAACACAATGCTCTCTCACATACTCGAACTGTTTATTCAATGACGTACCCAAGTGTAATCCCACTCCTGTAACAAGGATACAGAGAATGAAAAATCCTTGATTCATCTCTATAATAATAATAATCCCTACAGCCAATATCGATGCGAATTTCATTTTTGAAGAATACGAATTTTAATTTAAAAACAGCGGATAGATTGTCTGATTACATATAGTAGCTTTAATCAAAATTATTCCAAGAAAATTGTTGTGTCAACTGATTACCAAACTTTTTACCAACTCTTATGGAGTCAAGCAAGAAATTTTTTTCACTTTGACGACAAATAGGCGACTGATAAATAATGTTAAGATTGATAAATATTTCATCAATAAACACTTTTATCATTAACGTATATTATGTTATCATTCAAAGTGAACCTATGTGATATTCGCCATCTTTAACAGGCCCTATACGTTCATTCAATTGAGCTATTTTCAGCCATCTGTATATTAGTATCCTTCACAAAAAAACTGATGAGAAATGAAACAAGTATTGCTTGACACCAAAATACTGTTTGCTAATCTAGTCATGATTTGACAATCGGTGGGAATAAAAGTCCTGGCCGGTGAGAAAATATACGTTTCATCCACTATTCTGTTGAGGAAAAAGAGTAAGCGCTCAGCTCTTTTGGTCAGTGTTATGGTGAAAATGAGGAAATCCAACTACTGATTATAACCAGTTGTTCTTCTGACTGTCACTTACAAGATTTCAAAAGTACATTTCCAACTGACGAGGAGACGTCTATTACCGTTCAGAAAATAACGCAAAACAAAGGAGATTTGTTTAGGTGGATTGGACGGTAGAAACAAATTGTCTGCAACACAATTATTTCTTTATGAAAATAATCGTGATCCTGTGTTCTAGCTGAAACTGTTCGAACAGTTTAACCTATCTGATAAAAATTCCTACGACATCTTAGAAATATTTGTCATCTAAAGTTTAGATTGAGATGAATTTCCAATAGCTTTCGAAGTAATTGCAGGTGTTCATAACTAGTAAAAAAATATGCAGAAAGGCATTTCTATTAGACTCATTTACACCTTTCAAGTAGTGATTATTTGTAATGCATGCAAAATATGTGTAGTTCATTAAAAATATGCAGAAGTATAAATTAATCTTACTCAACAACGTTAGTATTGGAGAATTTAGGAATGTTGCTTCCATCTGTTTTGACACTTAGATATGCTGGGCGTTTAACATTAATAGGGGAGATAAGACGTGTCTGTGTACCAATAAGTTCCAAACGAGGTGAACTTTTACGACCACCAGTTGAAGTAGACTCATCCGTTAACCCAAGCGATGGACACTGAGAGGCTGAAATAAAGAAAGAAAGCAAATAATAAAAGGAACAAACAATTACGCCGAAATTTTGGACGTAGATTAATTCAAAGAAATTAAGATGAGAGATTGAAATTTTAAAAATATTTCCAAGTTGAAAAGTATAGAAATGAATAAGCATTGTTCACAACTTCTAATAATGAATGCAAAATTAGGAGGAAGGTGCGATGACAGTTAATTCCAGCAAAATTAAATATAAAAGCATAAACTGTGCTTTTATTAGGTCTTATATGTAGAATAGTTTCAGTAGTAAAATGTCTGATTCATTCAACTATATTCTCTATTAGATAAAAGTAACTTTTTACAAGACAATTTTTATTCTTTTTGTTTACCTGCTTATAATTAAACTGGTAACGTAGTAATACTTACATCGAATGGGTCTAGAATCATACACATTAGTGAACACAATTCATAACACGTAATCAAGAGTTATTAAGAGCTATTAGATCTTATTAATATCATTCGAATTAATTGACGTAATAAGACTGATTCTGATAAGCTGCGAAAATGACGAGAAGATAAGGCTGCTTAAACACAAACTGAATAAAAGTTATCATCATTTGGAATGACTAAGAAATTTGTTACTCACACTGAGCCACAGCATTTCACGAGGAACAATGTTAATTAAAATAGGGTTAAGCTGGAAGAGAGTTATAGGTCATCAGACCAAAACATGGTACGGATTCATGAAGTGCTGACTGCTGATCTGGGCCAGGCATACACACGCAGAATATCTGGCAGGGGTTCTTTGAAGCCAAGCACCAGTGATTGGAGCCTTTTTTTGTCGCTTGTCATCTCTAAAATTCTGAATTTCTTCGCTACTTCTCTCGAACACTTCCTTATCAACTGTAATATGGTCAAATTTTTATTTTATTCCTTTCCGTGCATCAGTTTGAAGTGTAACAACCAGAACTTATGCCGTCCTGTGATAAGATGTGTGTTGATTTCTTAATCAGTCATCCTGTAAAATGATTAAAGTTAATAGATAGCATCAATGCATATGGTCGTTTTTTCTAAACCATCTGACTTCGGGTATGAGATGTCAGGCATTAGTGACTTGGCTCTACGTCTATCACCCTGATTGCTTATGAAATACGGAAATGTCTTTATTATGAAACTATTATCTCCATATTTATTTTGTCCCTCACAATTCTGAAATCGATAAAGATATTTTCTGTACAAAGGTTCTCATTATCTTGTCTGTGTTAAAAAGATTAATATACAATCTACTATATTTTAACCACATAAGTATGCATTTAGTTGAAATATCAAGAAATAAAACATTCACCTATATTATAATCACGAATTCGATCGTCCTGTTTCTTGGAACTTTTCTTTAGGGAAGCACTTATCTCTGATTTACTGCATTTTGGTTGTTTTTGGATATTCTTGCTCTAAAAGTTAAAAAAAGGACGATTTCATCGAGAGCAAATATATGAATCTGGTACATGAGATATCGCAATAAAGAAGAATAGTACGAGGGTTAATACACGACTAGAACTTGGATACTATCGGCTGATCTCTCAAAGTACGTCACCTAAAGAGACTAGATTACCATTAGATTGCAGTTTACTTTAAGAGGCAAAAACTAAAATGATTGGCTAAACGATGTATGGCTGATTACTTAAATAATCTTCACTCTTCCTCATTTTTACCAAAGAGATTAGTTCTATTTTTCTGAGACAGAACATGGATCATTGCTACTGAATGTGTTAAGTAAATCTTCATGTGTAGCTTCTAGTCGAAGGCAAAAGCATCCCACATATATGCAAATGGACTGAATTGGATTATGAAATTAAACAAAGCAATATATTGATATCAATACCCATTTCCACAGGGTTCAAACACTCTTCGAAACATTTCTGTTGAAAATCATAGTTCTAAGTTCGCTGAATGATGCCTTTGGTTTTATCTATTTGATTGTTTTCAGTAATATTCAGTCATCAATAAAGAAATAAGCATGAATGAAAGAAAGAAAAAATCTGAGAGATAGCGAGATTGTATATCATCATTTTTATTTGTTACTCGCTCTTCAAGTAGAAAGTAGGGCTTCAGTACCACATCTATATTGTACTCTGTCTTCTGCTATCATTTTTTAAGAGAATTGTAAAGCTACTTCTGAATGATTGAGAATATTGAATTGTATCTTTAATGTTATCCAGTAAACATTAGTGTTTCAGTCACCATGGGAATGAATGAGTTAAATGACATTAAGTAGAATGTTTTGATAAAGTGAATGTAAGTATATATAGGGATGATGTTTATGGAATAGTGTATATACGTTCTAGTTTTAATACTATATTTTGATTAGGTTTGCGGTCTAGGCTACATATCTGTGACAAGTTAAATGGATAAACTAATATCAAAATGCTGACAGACAGACTTTAACAGAAAACTGATAACTTTTGTTAAAAGTTGTTTCAACATTAAATGTCAGATAAGGTTGACTGAAGTTCAGAGGGAGTGAAGGATGAGTTTTATCAATAAAATGTCAGATTTAACGCTAGAACGAAACACTCAAATGGAGAAGACATATTTCCAGGTTATTCTATTGGTGAACTAGGGGGACTGAACCATTTAGAAAAAGTAGTATCTAGGGGATCCGATCCGGGAAAACAGAGACCACTCGTTGGTTGTTATGTTGGAACAGAGTCGTGAGGAAATGTATTATCCTTATCTAGGTAAACAATTCAAGGTTATGCAGTCACATAAAAAGTTACAGCACGAATCAGTACTTAAAGCCTGTTAACCTGTCAAGAGAATTGTACAGTGGATTTCTTTCAGATAAAAGCGAGTAAATAGTTTTTTTCACACCTCGAAAACATATGTTATAAGATGAGTAATACCGACATCTAATGATTGTCTCCACTACATAAATTCGAAACTGCATCAAAAATGTTGGATAACGTCACTGAAATCACATACTTTTTATGCAATATTTAGCTTAAAGTTACTTGTTGCTTAAACTGAAGTCGTGTCTGAGATTCTCCTGCTACATGATAAATATCCTTGTTATTACAATTCCATGGAATTAATTAATCTTACTGGTCAACAAGAAACTGAATTTTGAAGCTAAATCCAAAGCTAAAAATCGAGACGCTGATTTTCAAGTGCATACAACTACCTGTAAAATAGGCTCACAGTTTATTTGAATGTGTGCTCGTTGGTTGGCTTACAAGTAGATGGAAATGCTGCTTGCAGAGATAAATAACAAAGTCAGATGACTTGTCAAAATAACTTATATGGAAGAGCAGGTATATACACAAAGGTTTTAGTAAAATGACATGTTTGAAATCTTTATGAACAGCTTGCGATATAATTTCTGAGAAACACCTTTTCTCATTTATGCTATTTACTGAATACATAGTTAAAAATAGTCTATTCTCAAAACGTTTTAGTCGAGACTGACAATGCTATCAGTATCTATATCACGAATGTCAATAATTACTAGAAATACGGAACACAGTAGTCTTTTCCACATTTCCACAAATGTATTTCATTATTAACCCATTCATCTAAGAGATGATTAGGAAGTAAATCATGTTTGTGTATGGAGTATAGTTTCGTCATGAAAATCAAATTCACCTTTAGGAAGAATCCTCGAATCATTACATTGTGATGATTTGTGAAGAATTCAAAACAAAATGAAATCAAAATAACTAACCTTTGTGTCGATCGGTTCCAACTGGATACTGGATTTAACTGTTGATTCATAAGGATCAAAGCAGTTTGCAGTAACTTTGAAAGAACTAGATGGTCTGTACCTAGTTCTTGTCTGTGATGTGACACCAAATAACGACCTTGTTTTATCTTTTGGTGTAAACGGTCTACACGTTGAAACTGAACGTAGCCAGTCTCTCGATTCTTTCACGATTTGAGCAGCTGTTGGTTTACCTTCAGGTAATTCATAAAATGCTCTGACCGGATTATAACTCGTTGTGACCGTAGAATTTAGTGGATCTGTGTTGGATGTACGTCTTTTTAAACCAGGAGATGCCATCTATAATGAAATACAAAACTACAATTACACAATTTTTCGGCTTGAATTTTGATCATGTGTCGGTTTATGGGGATATTATTGGTTACGGGTTCGATCACCAGCCAACATCAATTAGAGAATCAGTGGAAAATCACGGTTTGTAGGACAGTTTTTTCTTCATAGTTCGGGACTTTTCACTGCTATTCATCCACCCATGTCAAACCCAGAGATCTCCCCTTACAAGGAAAGCTTGTAGACCATTCATCCATTGATGTAGTTAGCAGTGAGGTCAGCGAAGTCTTTGACCAGGTCAGTGGGGTGTCAAAACATGTGCATATAAAAGTACTAAACTTGGACTGGCCCACCTGTACAATTCCTATATGTGCTAAGAAGGGATAACCTAAAGATGTTTGGTTAACAGAAGTCAACCAAAACTAAATGCTTACTTTGTAATCGGGGTCACATGAAGTACAGAGACATACTTTAGAAATATCACTTTCTACGAATTAGTTTCAAGGCTATCTATCCGTAAAATATCGTCAATGACCCAAACTCTGAAGTAGAGCTGATTATAGTAACGACTCTCTCACAAATCCAGATGTCTAGAATAATTATTACCTGAGGAAAATTACTAAGGAAGAAAAAATAAGCAGTTGCATCAGTTTATAAATGGCACTGATACTGTAGAGAGTGATTATATGGACATTAATGAACACAGTATTTTACTGCTGTAGTAACAGTTAGTGCTATTAACTTCCTTTACGAAGAAAACATTCACCTCAGTTGAAACTACCTATAAATAATTTATTGTATTGTGCAACAACAAAATATTTGTTGTGTAAATATAAGAAATATTTATTATAATAAAGGTTTTTAGCATTTCCCAATGAATGAAAAACAAAACGATATTGTTTTTACTGACGTTTCGCTATCTAATGCTAATAGCTTTATCAAAGTATTATTTACCAAGAATTTATAAAATATCAGCATGCATATAACAACTTAATCATCGTTCCTCAGTATGGGGGCATTTTTCTTTGTCAAATTGGCTAATTGGTAAAGGTAACAAAACCAGATGTATATTGTTGGATTTGATAAGTGTGTCGAATTATAAAATCAGCATGTGTTTACGTAGTAAAATTGCTTATCACATTCGTGTTGATTTTGTCATTTCATGGGGGACCGGGGTGTTGCAACCAGGTCACACTTATCAAATCCAACAATATACACCTGCTTTTATTACCTTTACCAATTTGACAACGAAAAATGACCCTATACTGAGGAACGATGATCAAGTTGTTATATGCATGCTGAGATTTTGTAAATTCCGGTTTAATTATACTTTGACAAAGCTATTAGCACTAAATAGCGAAACGTCAGTAAAAACAATATCGTTTTGTTTTTCATTCATTGGGAAATACAAAAACCTTTATTATAATGAATATCATATACCCAATCCCCAAACTTTTTCAAACTGTTAAAAGTGAACTTGGTTTGGACATATACGAAATAATAAAATAATAAAAAAAAATAATAAAATAATTTACCTTATTTACTTATAAATATGCGCACATTTCACTATCAAATTATCTCAAATAAAACTTTGAGACAATATTTATTTGATATTCCCTGAAACAAAAAATTAAAATTTTTGCATTGAACAAATGGAAACAAGTATCAAATGTCCGCGTATTTGTTTACAGACAGTAGAATAAAAGAATTATAAATCAACATTCAAATAAACTTTGAAACATGGAGCTTAATATCATTGACACATAACACGCCATCACTTTCTTTCCCAAGCTATAGTAGTTGAGGCATAACTAAGTTGTTTACCTGTATAGCTTGGATAAATCTCATTTCAAGACAGTACTCTGCTAAGTTAAAAATAAGTCTCATATGACACTTAATGAGAGCATATAGTTATTGGTAAAGGGGGGATTCAAGTGGACTGTTATTCACCAAATTTTACTGGATGTTTTGCATTCCTTAGGTTGGAAACTTTTTTTCTTCGAAGCTTTTATTTTTATTATCTTTTATCCAAACTGTCAGCAGTAGCACTGAAGTTAGATAACATGACTGACGGAAAAGTTGCTACCTATACAAGTTTTTCAGGGTAATGTTCCACACAACGCAAACAACAAAATTCAACATTTCTACCTAAGTTCAGCAGAAATATTGTGGTTCATTTCTTGGTATTAAGTGATGAGCAGAATCATACAATGTTGAAAGCAAACGTCTGCGAAACAGGTTGATGAGACGTAAATTCCGCAAAGTTTCGAGAATCTGAAACATTTGTTTTACTACTTGCAATAAGAAAATACATTCACCCCTCAACAAACCTTGAGGAACTGAAATTAAGGTATTGGTACCATACGTGTAAAACATAAATTACATTTCATTTTAAGAGGTTCAACTTCAGAACAGACCTAAAAGTCGAATGTATAATCCCCTACTAGTTGTCTTCACTGACAGATTTTTAAGATATGTCAAATTTTTCAAGCGCCTTACCGAATCTCATAGGTGTTGCATCAACATAACACAGCAACAACATTGTCCTTTAGATTCAGCAATAGACCTTTGGATTTACAGCACGAAGACAAAAAAGCATTTGAGCACAATGACAATTTCATTTATTTGGAAAGTTGCATGATCCCTAATGGGCTGATTGCTGACGATGTATAAGCACTGATACAGATTGCTCATGTGACATTCGCCCTCAGACAACATGTGTACCACTCAGTAGTTCTCCTTGTCCCTCTTCATGGATGTTGAAAGTGAAAGTTATGGGAACGCTAGCCCTCTTTGGTAATAGATGTCTGCATTATATCTCTCGACTTAGTTGGCATAATATGGTCAGTGGAAATCAGGTTTGGCTGAGTGTTAGGTAAGAAGGTAAATTCAGTCGATGAGTTTGTAAAGATGAATCTTTGACCTAGCTATAGCGTGTGTTACGCATACCAAGCCACCACCCTTCGCTCCTATTATGTCAGCTGGTATTGGATTGGGGTAGATTAAAAGTCAAGGGTAGGGGAGGCAAAACATGAAACCAATCCATGGAGTTTTGGCTGTTGAACTGAGTCACATGTCGACTGTCTGGCTGAGGTGATTGAGTCGCTAAGAATCAACAGCTATAAAACATTCATAACTCAAAATAGCTCTTAATGGCATAGATACAACTTTTGTTCGTGGTCTTTTAGATCCACCAAATCCTCACTATTCCCCATGCAGTTATTCATCTTTTCAAATATTTCTCTTTACCATAGTTTTACTGTATATCTTTTTCCCCTAACTTTATGTGCGTATTGAAAACGTGGAAAATCGAGTTGCTGTAAAGTTTTGAGTTGAAAATTCAGCTCACTTCACACAGTAATACAGTGTCAATTACTTATGGTTAAAAACTCGAGCACAATAAATGGTCAGTAGCTACGTGAGTTATGAGCGCCTTGATGCAAATGTAAACAACTTATTATGACTTCAAGCGCGCTGGAGTGAGAAAAGAACACATTTTAGAGGAAAAACTTGGATAGACATTCAACACGGGCGACCTAACCACCATTTTGGAAATAAATTTCCTCTGGTTTGTGCTTGAAAGCAGCACCACACATACAACAATTAGTTCACAGGATCTTCAGGGTTTTAAACATACACTCACTATGTTTAGGACAATTTTAATGGGATATATTGGGACCCATATACAGCAATTTATCCAAGCAACCCAAAACGACACTAATAGTGTGGAAGTTATCTGCAGATTAGGTAGTAACCTGTTAATACTTTTTATCCTGCGAGTGTTGTTGTATACTATTTTCGGACCTCTCTTTGGCTTGTTTATTTAGAAAAAATTAAGTTAAGTAAACGTTACTCACTCCGACAAAAGTAAGAGTGGCCATAGATAATATATGTATACCCGTAGGACTTACTAATAACCAGCTGACGGGAAAGATATAACGCATAATAATAATAGCTTTGTTCCAAACAGTACATTTGGCACAAATATGGAATTCTGAGCATTTATCTACATTCATATTTAATCCGATGAGAACAGAGTACTAAAACAAGCTGACATCAATAAGTTGGTCAAATGAACTCAGCAGGGGATTTTAGAGGTTAACCAGGGCGAAAATACAGATATGCAAATAAAACTTGAGTGTAAGATCAAAATAAACTTTATATCAAATGATGGTGAAAATTAGATTAGGGTTTATAAAGGAGTAAAATGTCAAAGTGACAACTCAATGAAATGAGGCCTTATTTCAAAACATTTTCTTTCTACGAATACATCGACGTATTTCCTTATTTTAAAAATGGAGGAATTTTAATGGAAAGTTTATTACTGCTACATGTTTATGAGAAAAAATACTCTCCTATATATTTGCTTGAGTAATAGTACTAGTAGGCACATACACACGACGGTAAGAACATTTTCTTATAGCCTATAGCTTATAGTCTGTCTCAGGGATGCTGAAGATAATATTAGCTGAATAATACATTTCACTTGAGGAAAGAATTCAAAATAACCCACCTCACAATAGTTCTACACTAACCTATGCGTCAGTAATGTCTTTTTATGGTAGATGAATATTTTATCTACCTAAAAGGAACCCAATATGTACTGAAAAAGCGCTGGTCGTTCTTAAATAGAGCTTAATTAATGTGAAGAACCCTTAAGAATAGGATTTTCAGCTGAAATAATTCCTTTAAAGCTTGAATGAATCTGAAAAAATTGCCAATATGTGCTGAATCAAGTCTTTTCGTTCTGAAGTAATGTCAGTCAGAGTTGTATCTGGGTTGAGAGGACTAAAGCGAATCCACTGGGTCCTGAACTACTTCTGAAAATGCCTAGAAAAAGCACAGGGTGCTGAATTAGTGGCTGTCATGCTGAAAAGCAGCTCTGAGTCCTAATCTGTGTGTATAATCAAACCATCTCATAACAATCTCACAATTTACTCATTATAGAATGCCAGAGTTAATTCAGAATTAGCGAGATTTAATTCAGCTTAGGCTTGGGAAACGTATATGTGGAGCAAAACATTTCAGTCACAATGTTGAGAAACTATGCAAATACTCTCTTAACAGTTATAATTATACTACTAACAAAACTTTCATTTTAATAGCACTAGATATACCATAAAGTGTTATAAAAATAATTTGAGTGTGTCACCCTGCATATTCAGCTTACCTTTTTTGAATTTTAAAGAAAAAGCTGATACACTCGGATGCCGGAAGAACTATCGACAATGTACTTGGAATGCGATAATTATCATTTTGTAGGAATCAGCACTGTCATTTCTGCATTGCAGAAAAAATTGGTATATTTCTAGGGTTTAAACCTTCAGTATGTGTATTTTTACACCTACGTAACTCTTAAAGCACTGATATGCTTTAGCACACCTGAAATAAATCTGCGACTTACCTAACGATTGTTTATGAAGTAACGCAAGATATTGTAAAAGTGACAGAAAATTAGATCTTTGATAACTGAAATTTTTATGATCGATTTGACACAAATACGATATTGAAACTCATAAATAATCTTTTAATTGGTTTATTGTTTTAAATGATTGTTGCCACAACAACATTTGGCGGCATTTTAAAAATGGCTTACCTTGCGTCTGATATAAATCCATTCTATTTTTCGGTTAGTTTCAAAATCATTACTATTTATTTGAGACATTTGGCATTTATTGTTTTCGTAAGTGTCTATTACAATTTATATAAACACAGGTTTTACTTCTGTTATACTTCTACGATTAAATGGCAATTTCATCAAGGAAATTTTGTATCCACTATCTGGGAGAGTGCATGTGAAACATGAGCCAATTTATATTTTGCACCCCTTCTTTTGAAAATTTCACACTTCACTTTCAGAATAATTCGGAAATTTTACTCATTATAATGCGAAATTAATTGTCAAAAATCTTTTAAAGGTACATATCTAACGCTTAAATGCTAAATGCTGTGATGATACTAATCTGAGTTATCGTTAAATTAAATGAGGAGCCTCTGATGACTCCTGACTGTGGCATTTATGTTAATTTAACGTTTCTACCACGTCTTCACGACTACATTTTGTGAACTACAAGGTTTCAGGGCCCTTACCTTGTGATAATATCAGATGGTTTTCAGTTGATGATAGAAGGCCTACACCTTCAAGTGGATGTCAATTGACTTCTTATAAGTATCAAGCCTGTCTAATCCTCTAATTTTTCTTTACTTATTCAGTGAAACGGGAACGAAATGCTATTTTGGCGTGAAGCACATGCTGTCTTACGTGGACTAACGCTGCGTGTGTCGGTGTCATGGTCATGTCAGATGAATTGTGGTGCAGAATATAGAGTGTTAATCCATTTAATATGGGAGCTGTTCCTGACATTTAATGGCACCATGGAATCTCTGTGGTCATAGCGATATAGCACCTCCCTGGCTTTTGAACTCTCATAACATATCCTCTGAGATGTTCTAGTATTATGGAAATGAAAAGGGATGGTAGAAAGCACCCACAGTGAACCTCATAATTTCGGTTATCATCATTATTAAAAATGTGCAAAGAAGGAGAATATTTGAACTCTTCAATCATTTCTCGTATTTTAAAGCGGTAATACCAGTGATCATGTTTGTCTGTATCATTTGAACTCTTCTTAGGCTGTATAAGTCCCTTTTTTGACAGGTACCGGCTGCCTAAGTGCAGTACAAAGTGGTGAAGATTTCACTGATGATTACAGTACAGTTGCAAGCTGCCACTGTGGGCTAGTTTTACGTATTTTTTAGGTCATGACTTACAAAGACACCTATGTCCGTGTATATCTCGACTAAAGATGATGGTAGTCCCTCTATTTCTTAGCAGCTGATAATTTCATGCCCAGTGAACGTGGTTGCGCATTTTTTAGCGTCATTCCAACAGATTGTCGGGCTCCTTTTGCAACGTAAGCATGCCTGTTCAAGATTTTTTTGGACGCTTGTATCTAGAACCATCAGAGATTTAATGAACCCTAAAACTATACCTTTCTTGGCAATCAAACCGTTAACGGTGACATGAACTATTGCATTCTCATTCTCCTATAACCCAAAGGTTTAGGGAAGGCTGTAGCCAATGTCAATCTTTGCCATCATCTACAAATAACAGGCATGACATCCGAAGGAGCACTACTAGTTTGCTAATATGTAGCCAGAACAGAACACCTCTCTGCAGGGGGCCACAGTATTCCATTCAAAGTCTCATTCGCATTGACTCATGTCAAAAGTCTCTGTCGCATGGTATTTCCTAAACGTCAACCTGCAAGCTTTATTTGCCAGCTTCAGTAGGACACTATACTAAATGCCCTTCTGAAACTAACAAACACCGTATCAGTGATTGCGCTATCATTCACACACTGCGTCTATTTTCTGTCTGACAAGCATGTCCAAACCTGAAGCTGCGTTACTTTGTCCCTATAATTCAATATCTCACTAACAGTTTGACATCAAACGCCTACTGTCGTACCTAACATAAAATCTTTGTATTATCTAGGTTACCTAGACTGAAGCCGAAACACAGAAAATGTGTCTGTAAGAGTTATCTGAACTAAATCAATCACAGTCAGTAATAATCTAAAGCACAGTCCTTCAAGCTCAGGTCAACTACTGAACTGAACACCAATCTTCTATTGCACCAGAAAGGGGCCACCTGATAGACTAGCGTCTTCACACTAGCACCAAACTGAGACACTTCACTGAAATAATTCAAATCAGTTTAGCTCTTTCGATATCTGATTCATCTACCCCATTTATGTTACTAATAGGAATAGGCATTGTAATGTAAAGTCAGTCTACTATATCGTACGTCAGTAGTCTTTTATGCCTCACCAAACATTTTTCAGTACTTCGACCTAGTAGAATCCCCTCTGTAGACTGATACCACAAACATTTCTCCCTCTTAATTAGCCTCAATCCTGTCGTTTGCTCGAGACACGACTGATGCTGTTCGCGGTAAGAAACAAATTTAGTCAGGAGATTTAGATGGGGAAATTATACCACCAACTTGCCCCCTTTTCATACAACTTCTCCTCTGTTAGATTAGCTCAGTCTACATGGTCCTGCATAGCCCAATTAGATTCTCTGAATGTGTAATCTGGTGAAGAAGCAGAGAAATGAGTCATTCTGATAGTCCGCTTTTCCCCTAAGATTAAAGCCAATTAAGCAACCTAAAATCTTTACTACCCTATGAATCCTTAGTAATTAACACCACAACATGCCTGAAGGGTGAATGTAAACGTTAAGTTCTGGTTTTAGTATTGTCAGTGGCGTAGTTTTACGGGAATTTTATATTTGTACTTCCGGATCTTTCTAAAAGACTGATGTATTTCCCTAGAAACGGAAGTGACACAACATTAGGGAATTAGAAATAAGCACGCATGTGTATGTTGTACCAGTTCAGAATTCCAATATTAACCACACGTCCACACACTAGTGTTGCATTGGCTTCAGTTCACTCTTGGAGTAAATCATATTTATATCCTCCTTTTCTGTTAGCAAAATGCCATAGTCATCCTGAAAACAAAGAAGACAGTACAATATTTCTTACCCAGGTGGGTGAGTGAAGGGGACAACGTCCTTTAGATGTACCCAGTTAGTGGTAATTGATGCATGTTGCTGGTGGTGGTGACATTCCGCGTCTCTGCTTACTTTTGCTTTCATCGAAGGAGGACACATTGGCCAACTGCCTTTTGCTAAGGCTTTCAGCCTCTGGCATGATCTGTCGTCCGATTGGGGAGTCCCATCGAGAACAAACAGGCTGAAATGATTGTTTTTTCTATCATTATGCTCTATTACTGAGGTCGGGATAACTCTCGCCTTTCAGACCAAAGTGCGAAGCAAAAACTTAAGAGGTTGATACTTTTCATGAAGGCGAAAATGACTCTACGTCTGAAATGAATAACCAAAGCTGCTTTTTTTTAGAATTCGATGTAAAACCTCTAAAAACATAATGATGAAGCATGGGTCTCTTAATTTATTTACACATAAATGGCTGTATGAATAAACCAATGCCCGTTGCGAATCAAGTCAAAGATATATCCCCAAGTGAATGAACCTGTGAATATGACATCATTTAAGGTAGGAAAAGTAACAAAAACATCTCGTATTATGGAATATATACTCTCCTTACTACTTTGTATATTGTCCAAGGATTATGATATAAAAGTAGACAACATTTACGTTTATTCTTCCATTAAAATGATATGGTAATCAGGGTCAAATTTTATTCGGAAGTATAGAAAGACAGCACATAATTTCGATAAAAAATTAGTGTCGCTTTCTAGGATCTGCTGCAAAACTCGACATTTCTTAAAACAAATCACAGTGATGTATTTATATCTTATATCCATCCTTATTATAAAAACAGTTGCTTGACCTTCTTAATCCTTTCCGCGATTATTTCATTCGTCGTCAGTTGCATTCCTAATAACTGATATACAGATATAAATTTGTGAATGTAGACACCTACAATGTAATACAGGGCTCTGATGAGAATGTTTATCTGTATATTGATGTGTCATTTGAGCCCATCTCCAGTGTGTTTAATCTTCTCTGCTTAATCTTTAATTAATCACAGTGTCTTCATAAATCCCTAAAATTCATTGCATCAGATTTGTAAGGTATGAAACGCCTATATTTACTCAGTCTGCGTCTTCGAACGATTTAGATAGATCGCTTTAATAAAAACTAGGTTTCCTCGTTCTTCAACATTATCAAATAATAAAGTCAAAATTTTTCTTAAAAGTATTAGATGTTTTTTCCTAGATTTTTTTCCTCCAACCAAACAACACATAAGTGTGCTTGGCATCTGACTATTTGGAATAATCCTCTTAAGCTGTCAGTAATATTCCTACTAGAAAAACTGCTGCTGTCATAAAACTCAAAACGAATCCAGGAAACTGACTTCGACATGAAATAAAGTTTTGAGACGGTTTCTAACATGACATATATTAATGGTACAGATCTATTCAACTTTTTTATCCTCCAAATTATGAAAATATCTCTGAATAACATTATAGTTATATTCTCTGCCTTAAAATTGTCGTTTCGCTTTCAAAATATTTCTTTTTCCTAATTTTTTGGGCTCTTCCCCGAAGTGTGGCGACCTGAAACGCCTCAGTTCTATGTAACTTACTACAATGATAATGCAGTCAGTTGGTAACAAATTTAAATTCCATCACTTTATAGAATATTCTATAGGCAGTTATGGTAGTCATCTCTAAATCACTGCTTTTTGAAGCTGGAACTTTCGAAAGGCATTCGATTCATGTGTCTACTCGCATTATTATTATTCGCTGTCTCGTTCCGAGTGAAACATAGTCCATCGGTGGCACATCCCCATTGCACATGGTTCTGCGCTATCACTTCTGACTGGTTCCATGTCTGCACACGAGCTTTCATTTCCTTTTCACATGATCTCTATGTGATCATCCACCTCCCAACCTACTCTTTCCTATCTGGGTTCCCCTCTAGGACCTACATGCTGTGTGATGTCAGTTGAACGTCTTTTTAGCTTATCTCTGTGCTTGGAATTTTCAGTGCCGACAAGTGTTGTTTAATTAATAGTGAAGATTTGTAGCTCTCATGGATAATTTTGTGTTCTCTGAGCTGGTTGATTTAATTGCTAAGCTTTCATAGTATTTCAGATAACGTCATCAGTACAGGCTTTAAAATAAAGTAAACTTGTTTGACTTCCCCATGAATGCTATAGTTGTATCTTCTGACAAGCATTGTTGAGATTGGTTGTTAATTTACATGGATCACTGTCATTAACTTGGAATCTCAACGTTCGTGTCATGTGATTTACTTCTTATTAGTCAGTAAATATAATCTACAGTAATGTGTTTGTCGATCGCTGAATCATCTGAGTAGCAGGCTTCAAGAAATGCCCTGGCATTTTTGATGTTTCCTCTGTTTGAAATTTCTAGGTAGGTTTTCTAATCCGACGTCCAAACTCCCCTCTTTCTCGGGCCGGCTGATAATTGTGTCAACCTGGAATTGATATTAATTTGCAATTTCTCGTCATTGGTGTTTTCATCTGCAGACATTTAGCTGTTGAGTATTGTTTCTATTTGAGTTACCTTTCGATAGGTTCTACAACATACTTAGAAAATTCAAGGTATAGTTCAATTCTTTTTCACCGGCAAAAACTATAAAATGTCTGAGTAAGAAGTTAAGTACTCTCAACAACTGTTTAACTATTAGGAATTTTCAACTGTATAACATGTCAATAACTTGAAGAGTTTGATATTTAAGAATAAGAAAGAAACCATTACCAAATAATATCTCATAACCATCTTAATCAACGCAAACTCAGATGCCATCTTTCCTCATCAGTGGTCATCTCATGTTTTAGAACATCTTGAAGTCATCTATAGCAAAAATGACGTACGAAAATCAAAGAAATTTGAGATGATAATATAGGCTGTTAGTGAGCAGTAAGAAATATAAGAGGAGACAGTAAGTGGTGTGACTATCATTACAAATTATTATCACCTTGACGTAATTCAGCGTCTGCTCTATAACATGGAATAATCATTAATTTAAAATAAGCGAGAATAAGAAGATTCCTACGAAGCTAAGTATAAACGTATTCTGTAAAATAGCTTCTAGTCTTTCTTAGCTGAGAAACCCAAGATATATCCAATTTTAAAGTTTAAATTCACAAATGTCAGTGCAAACTAGAAACAAAAAGTTGTAATTTTATCAGCGCTGTATGCTTTTTAGCTAAAATCACGCAGAGATTTATTAAGGAAACCTCACTATTATACAATCAACTTTGTGATCTGACTATTAAACTGCATTAGGATTTCAACTAGTCTCTATCAGTCCTGTCAAAGTTTGAAATGCACAATAACCAAACAATATTCTCCCATCTAACTAGTGTTTTTGTAGCCTTATCAATCTATCATCACTATTGAAAAGTACTCGGAAATCAAAAAGAATAGTTGGTTGCTATACAGTCGAAGCCAATAAGCAGAAGCAGAGATTTCTCAGCTAAACATTTCTGCAACTGTAAAATAAATCAGTGCTCCCTCACATAGTTAAACCCACATAATTTGTTGCTGCAGTCATAAGGGTGTCTGCACTTAAGTATACTGCTTTTGTCCACTTCAAACCTAACTTTCTGCTGATGAACACTGAAATTTTAAAAAGTGATCCAAGTATTTCTCTCTATGACTTCAAAAATTATGAAGCCATGTGCAATACATTGTGATGCATGAGGGTTGATGATGGCATTTAGAGTTAACACCTTCAGATGCGGAACATAAGGCTACTAAATTCCGGGAAACTGTCCGTCACACAGCAAATTAGCTGCAAAAGAATAAATTTATTACAGTACGATAGAAAAATATCTTCATTCTATATGAGTAATTTTAAACGTCCTTGCGTGTGATTTGTGGACATTAGTATTATCAGGATTTTGGTGTTCGTAACATGGAATGGAACAAGCAAGAAGAAGAAACGATAAATTGTATTCTTAAATTCCTACTCATATGTTTGGTTGACGTATACCACTAACATTCTATTTTTTAACACAAATTTCTCCACCTTTTACAACACAACTGTTGCTGTAAGTAGTAGGCAATAAGCAGCACTCTTGTCTTTGATTAAAAAGCAGTGATTCCCTATTGACGTTAATTTTTACAAGTTAAAACCACTGACAAATTATCAGCGATGAACATATGGCTGAGTACGTGCGAAGGGAGTAAACGGTTATTAGCAGTTGGCGCAAAATTGCGAGACATTTCATTAATAATCATGGTTTAAAATTCATAGATTTAAGAATATGTAACAGTGAGTTTCATGTGTGTAAGTGTATCCATGTGTTGATGATCCGGGTTATTGTAAGAAATGTAACGAATAAGGTTAGAATTTTTTGTAGGAAAGATCGCAAAAGTGAAAACTCTAGCCTGGAAGTGTAACAGCTTAACACGACATAAATGACTGCGATAAGGAAGGAAGTAGTAGATGAACCTGAAATCATGTTATTTGATAAAACAAGACTAGTATGAAGACGGAAATAGCAACTGAATAAATGTTCACAATTATGAAAACCATAAAGCATTATCTATAACACTGAGGCTGACTTTAAATTAAACCACTGAGGGTCTATTATGCTTATCCAAGTAACTCGTACTCTTCAAAATTCAAACATTGTGTTCTTCAATGTTATATTTGATCACTACTTTTTCACTTCAGTCCTAACTAATCTAGAGATGTCTGGTGGGAAGGACGGTGGGGAGAATGCACTACATATTTAACAGTCTCAGTGTTCATTTAGGGTAGATTGTTCTGTGAAGTTGTGAAACATGGCTATTAAAGTAGACGATCTTAGAAACCGCAAACATTCAGCTACCACTGTTTTCATGGTAGAGCTGACATTCAGCAGAACCACAGTGTGACAGTGCAACGATTAGGTGTAGTCTTATGTGAGACAAATCAGTCTAATAAACTTTAAACCTCAGGGACTTAAGATGGCTGCAACATTCGTTACACAGGCTAAAACACTGTTTTCCTTGAGTGTCTATGTTAACGAAAATAGAATTAGATTGGAAAAGAGTAATGGATGTCCAAAGAAGGACAGTGCGCAACATGAGACCATCGTTATATAAGCTTTATCTATATATGGAAGGATTGGGTGTCTGGATGGAGTTCACACGGCCTCAGAATTCTGTAGTTAAAAATTAAAATTTATATGGGTTGAATTTGATCACAAGAAAACAGGAATATTTACTCCCTATTTTCATCTTTGTTCTTAGGCAACATTTATTTATCTGCCCCAATTCTTTGTATTAAAGTATCCAACCTGTTTGACTTTTTTTCTTTCTTTGTATCACCTTTCATTGTGTGGGTGTGAGATATGGTAATCCAGTCAAATACACGGTAGTGCTAGTTCTTTCAATAATAATACCTGCTAACTTGAATAAACGAAAATGTCTAATTCGTTGGTGTGTATCGCCTACATCAGTCATGTTTTGCAACTCTAGGTTCTGAGAAAGCACGATTCCGAAGAATTTACTCAATAAAGACAAAATAAAATGTAATCACTCCACATTGAACTATTAGTACCTTTAAATCTATCGAATTCGTTTTTAAAAATCCCATTTCTACATGTAACTACTAGTTGTAACGAATAATGACTAAATACGTAAAACGCATTTTCTACGAAAAATTATATCTGCACATATGGCTGACTATTATCCTTATTAGACTCTGATAGAAAGATAGTGAAGAACAAATGTTTTGTTCTCAAAAGTTGTATTATGGTACTTAAGTATGATCATTATTCATAATGAATCTAAACATCGTTGAAACAAAAAAGTAGTAAGTGTTTTGCCATCCAAGATAACAATAAATTACAAGTATTTGATTTGTTGTTTTTTCTTTTCATTAAAAGTAAGATAGTTCCCTGTTGAAGAAAAATAGTTATTCTTGTGGTTGGTACTTCTGTAAACTGCTAAATACGTGTTTTCCTGTACAGTTGCCTTTTAATATGTTCATAATCTTAATATGTATATCTTATCTCAGATTACTGACTTCACTCTTTAAAAGGATTTATAAAAACTTTCATGCTCACTATAGGATTTCGGTTACTATGTTATCACATGCTATTGTGTTCATTTAAAGTGACTGCATCTTTTGTTTCGTTAGAAAATCATCATCTAGTCACAACAAGTGAAAGCTGTATAGAATAATAAAAATGAGACGAAACAGTGATATCTCGACAACTCTGAATTTGGATAATTTAAAGGAGCTGGAATCAACTTATCTAGACTGTGTGGGAAGTAAGCCAACACCTGCATCAGCTTTCATCAGTAAGATAATGAGAATGGAATATGATCTCGATAAAAAGTAAGTTGTCTTTCCTTTACTTTTCTACTAGTATTCTGTACTGAACAAAATATTACTTATAAGCTGAGCTCATCGCTAATATAAATTTCATACCACTTGTAAATAAACTGAAAGGTATTCTTGACACCATACTGCACTAGCTGATCATGCAGGAGTTGAAGTAACTATACCATCCACTTTGCAGTCTCGTGATAAAGTAACTGAGATATGTCAAGTATGGAGAGGATTGACATACTGATTTATGTACTTTTGGTAGACCGTATATGCGTGAAATGGACCTATAAATACTATATTTTTTACTCTTAAATTCTGAAAACAGGATATGCTTGAGTAATTTTTGTATCAAAGTACTATTTAGTTCTGAGAGTTGATGCATCTGTTTACTGGTAATGCTAATAAACGTTTTGAGGGAAAATCGGTACATCTGCGCAATTCGTCACTGTGTGAAAAGCTGAGAAAATTAATTCAAATTATTTTAAATAACTGAATTATCTGTCCAGGGCTTCTGAGTGAAATTTCCCATGTCTAGTTAGCTTTATTCTACGTAGCTTAGATTTTCACTTCAGATTTCAATTTATAACATGACCTCAGAAACAATAAATAATCGAATATGATGACCAAAAGTCTACTTTTTATCAGTATTGAAATTAAAAAACTAAATATACTTGACTCCTTTTTGAAGAATGTTTGTTAAGTATAAAAATGATCAGGAAAATTTATTTTTCATGAACCACGATTCAGTCTTGGGGCCTAATAGTACCTACTGAACTTCACATGATAAAAATAACAGATTCTGCTACAGCTATACACTTTTCTAAAAGGCAATTTGTATGTATCTTCTACTCCCACCGAAACATTTGAGTTCTGTTATACCATCTTTGAAGAAATGTATATTATCACCTGGAAATAAAAAGATATCGAACACCAGTTTATGGCATTAAACAAGTTCATTTTTACTGAGTAAAAACTTAGTAAAGCTAAACCAAAATCAGCTATTCTAATATCAAGACTTGTCACACTTATCATTCTGTTTTGACATACTTTATTAGATCATTTATTTACAGATAAACCGTTGAAGACATGGAAACAAAATTTTCACAAGTCACTTTTGATTTGCTAAAAAGTACAAAACTCTCTCACAGATTCTACTCAAAGTTCAATATGTTCAGTACGTAGACAGCGTAGACATCACATTTCAATATGACACTTTTTCTCTGCAAATGAAAAAGAATTAAGACTGATTCTTTTCAAATATGTTATTTCGACATATTGAGCTCAAAAACTGCATTAGTTTGAATACTTTTCAACCGAATGAAAATGTCCTACTCAGTCAAAACAGAGTCTTATCATAATGGAAAAATGCCTATATTACAATGGACACAAAAATTATTAACGAATACTGTAAGTTACAAAACGAAATAATCAAGTCTTAGATATATCTCTTCGAAGATCCAGTATGAAATTGGTTCAATTTTTCCAGTGTAATTTTTCAAATAAACTGACCCCAGTTACAGAATTCATTCGGTCTAAGCTTCTTAAACTATGTCAAACGAACCGTTTGTTGAAACAACCAAAATTTATCGGGTGCAGTTTCAGTGTTAAGTACAACAGTGTGTACCATTTCATATTTTACATGTAAAAATATCAAAAAACATACGTAGTAGTTCTTGATGACGTGTCAACACATATTTCAGAAAGCCGGAGAATCAAATTCGCACATGTCTTCTTCCTTGCAACTGTTCTTTGACAGACGGGTGAACTAAAACTTATTACTTTTAGACCAGGAAATGTGTTTTCAAATAGCTCAGACAAAACTTATGCGTTCAGAGGTAGTCTGTATTTTGGCTTTCACTAACACAAAACATTACTATTTGCGCTATAATGTTAACTGATAACTGTATTTTTTCCTTCTCTACCATGTCACTGAATTCTATTGATTCTTTGTGTTAGCTTTGATATGCTTCACAATTCTGACGTAATTTACTCATATCATGTGACACTAATTTTCCTTTGTTTTACCCCTAGGAGTAAAACTACAACTTATCATTCGATTGCTTTGTTTCTAAAAACTTCAAATTAAACTTCACATCCAACCAACTTTATTTACTTAATACCATTATATAACATTTTGTTACAGTGATGATAAGCTTTTCGCAATCTACTTAAAACTCTGTGGCAACAACCATCATTTAGACGCAGTTCGACTAACTGATAGTGACCTACCACCACTTTGTCTGGCTCTATCACTTAAACCATGCATTACAATGTTAGATTTGCGCTATAATCGCATAACGGATCAAGGAGCAGAAAAACTATCTAATTTTTTAGATGTAAGTTACTAACTTGCTATAAAATAAGATGTATTCATGCTCATGTCAAAGCAGAATAAAATAAAATAAAAGCCGAAGAACTTATCGTATTGTGATTTTACAATGCATATTAGTGTAGACCAAGTTCTAATGAGAAATTTGAATTACTACTAACATACCAATAACCAAGGGCTCTGGAGCACAAGTGTGTTTACGCTGGGCTTCAAAGTAACGCTTACTAGATATGTTAACAAAGTGGTCTCTGATATGCAACCAACATAGAATGTTTAATCAAAGTGTGTTGACCAGAAATTACGGTTACTAAATGAGTTTACAAAATACTACCGTACACCACAACTTTGAACTTCTTTTTCGACGTACTTTTAAACTCTTGCTTATACACCCCTATTATTAAACAACAAAAGAGGAAAGGAACAAAAATAGAGCAGTAGAATGACTTAGGAAAATACCAGAGAGTGGGAAAAAGCCAAAAAGAATAAAGGTTGGTGTAGCCTTAAGAATTTCAAATAGGTTCTATAAGCCAATATTGTACCACTGGTGTCTTAAATATTAATTCATAAAGCCATAGATAAACATCCCATTCGCATTGGCAATGTACTAATGATAACACCGAAAAGTGTGAAGGCTATCTAGACATTTTTGCCACGGTTATGTGGGCAGAAACAATTGCATTGTGAGTTGAAAAATAACTGAGAGTTACCGTTGTGGATCTAACCTTAAGTTGTTAATAATATGATGTTTTCTTCTGTGCCTATTCGTCTACATATTCGTTTTCGAAAGTTGCTTATTATTACATAGTAATAGTGTCCTTATGACTGGCAATAAGACGAATAGGTCATTAGTCCTGTTGAATGTTATTTTTAATTCTAATGGACTTGAATACGGTACAGTAAACAGCCTTTAACTATCAAGCGTATTTAGGAAAACTGTTGTTTCTCATAAAAGATTCGGCCTGCTTTCGTTATTGGCTAATTTGTTTCTTTAATTTTCCTTGTATATCGAGCCAATTTTAATTGTTCGTGGCAAACAGTCAGCGTATCTTTGATCATATAATTCAATCTTTAAGATTAAATCATGTAGATCTTGGTTAAGTTGAGGCTGTAGCTGTTGTTGTAAGCCTTCTGTGAGTACCTAAAGGCTCATATTTTCGGGTAATCTTAAGACGCCAAAATAGGTCACATATCGCAATTCATAGAAATTTAATTTCTCAAGTCTACATCGCAAGGCACATTAAATCAATACTCTATCCACTCGTGGATCAATACATGTAACATTATGAAACCTGTTATACTGATAAGGCATCAAAGAAAAGAAATGTATAAAGGATCTATACAGATGTCTTCGTAATTTTCTAAAATTCAGATAGTTAGTTAGGTTCATCATTCGACTTCCTTAAAACCACGATTTTTACCTACCTTGGACTCTATTTATAGTTTGTAGTAATTATGGTGTTAGTATGGTTATTAAAAGTTCTGTATTGAGATGGTTAACCAGCTTTGTAGATGAGTTAAAGAGAAATCCTAAAAGCAAATTCTTTGATCTTTGTAGGCGCCGTTTTCCTATTGCCTACAAGGTTTTACTACTAACTGTGGATTATCCACAATTTTAAAATAAAGAGATTGGAATTCGGACATGTTTGGCTACCTACCTTTGCAGACTGCCCATCTGACAAACTATCTGGTAATACAATTTCTGTGGCCTCATAACGAAACGTCACTTAAGTTTCTTTTCAACGATAAACACTATGATAGCATAAATATCACAGTTTTTTCATTTTACGAAGATAAGCTAGTGCTTAGTTATAGACATTCCATAAATATATGAAAAGACACCAGTATATATTCAGAAGGACACTAACTACAGAACTGCTAAAAATGGAGAAGCAATGGACAAATAATTCTTTATGGTTTCATGCTCTTCAGCAGCATATCCTAGACTTCATGCGAAGTTCATTTTAGGAGTTACGGTGTTCAAACTGGAAATAGTATGTGACTGAGAAAGGAAATTTATCTGCATTAAATTTCGGATAAAGTCGGAGTTATATCCTCTCGTATTGAGAATTGATGATTTCAACAAAATGCCACTTCAAAGTACAATTCATTCAAGTGATATTCAGTTAATTATTTCTTATAAAGCATTGAGTTTGTTCAAAGTGAACGCCCTCAATATAGCGTAAAGTTACAATGAAATCAATCAGTAAAACAGAGTATACCACATATTTTAATAAAAAATTAATTAATATCTAAGTTCTAATAAAAATGTATTACATGTTTATCTTTACATTCAAAGACTGATAACCTCTTGGAAGAGTTAAATCTCATGGGCAACGATATAACTCAAAAAGGTGCAGAATTTCTGGCTTCCTCTCTAAAGGTGAGATAATGAATGCTGAAATTTATCAGGATTTGAATTATTGCCTACCACGAGAAATTTCTTACTTCATATTTTTAATTGTTTTATACACTAAAATACTATATATATGTATATATATATATATATTATATATTATTATATTATTGTTCCCTTGGGTTCCTAGTGGAACATAGGGCTTCAACTGCACGCCTCCACTTGCTTCTGTTTTGTGCTGTACTTTTCACTTGCGTCCATATTAATCCATACTGTTTCAGTTCCTCTTCACACGATCTCCTCCATGTCACCCTTGAACGTCCCACTCGCCGCTTCCCTTTCGGGTTCCACTCGAGAGCCTGACGCGCGATGTCACCCAACGGCCTCCTCAGCGAGTGTCCAATCCATCTCCACTTTCTCCTGCATATTTGTTGGGCGATTGGTTCCTGTTTTGTTTGTTCCCATAGCTTCTTGTTTGTGATTCTTTCCGGCCATCTAATCTTCAGTATAGAATGAAGACAGCTGTTGATGAAGGTCTGCAACCTGTTGGAAATATTCTTTGTGACCCGCCAAGTTTCTGATCCGTATAGAAGAACTGACTGACTTGACGTTTGTATTGAAAATCCGAATTTTGTTGTTGATGCTGAGTGACGAAGATTTCCAGATTGGTTTCAGGTTGATGAATATGTTTCTCGCCTTCTCGATTTGACATCCTCGTCCGTTCCTCCTGTGGTTGAGACAATGCTCCCTAAATAAGTGAAAGAAGTAACCTCTTTCAAATCCCTCCCGTTGATGATGATTGGTGCTAGATGTTGCTGCTGCTGTTGTTGTTGTTGGTTGTTTATTTTCATAACCTCCGTCTTGTCTATGTTCACCTGGAGTCCTATCTTCTCCAGCTGCTTCTTCGACCAGTTTGTCGGTTTTTGCTTGTAAGTCTTCGATTTTGTGTGGCATCAAACATAAATCGTCCGCGAAATCTAGGTCTTCTAGGTTCTTCACGTTGGTCCAGGATATCCCTGTCTCTTTGTTTCCCACTGTCTGACGCATAATCCAGTCCACCACAATTAGGAATATCATTGGTGATAATAAGCACCCTTGTCTGACTCCTGTGTTTACTCCAAACGCTTCGCTGAGTTTTCCGTTGTGTATCACTTGACATGTGCCGTTGTCGTACAGTTGTTGAATAAGGTTGATGAATATTTGGGGTACGTCGTAGTACTCGAGTAGTTTCCAAATTACTTCACGGCCAACACTGTCGAAAGCCTTCTCAGAGTCTATAAAGTTGAGGTAGAGATTTGATTGCCATTCCATGCTTTGTTCGATGATGATGTGTAGAGTTGCAATTTGGTCAGAACATGATTTGCCTTTCCTGAATCCAGCTTGTTCTGGTCGGAGTTCTGTATCCAGTGCGTCCTTTATTCTCTCCAGGATGATGCGACTCAGAATTTTACTTGGCGTCGACATGAGCATGATTCCTCGCCAGTTCTTGCAGAGTCCTACGTCACCCTTCTTTGGTAGTTTCACGAGGTAACCTTTCCTCCAGTCAGTAGGCACCTTTCCCTCTTTCCAGATCTTTTGCAATAATGGAGTCACCATCTCTGCTGTCGTTTCTGGGTCCGCTTTCAGTGCTTCAGGGGGTATTCCATCTGGTCCAGCTGCTTTTCCAGCTTTCAGAAGCTTGACTGCATTCAAGACTTCAGCTTTCGTTGGAGGACTGGTGTCAACTTGCAGTTGTGTACGTGCTGTTGTTGGTATTACTGGACGGGTCGTAGGTGGTGGTCGGTTCAAGAGTCCTTTGAAGTGGTCCGCCCATTGTTTAATCTGTCTTTCTTCTTTGGTAATTGGGTTCCCTTGGCTGTCTTTTATAGGTTTCACTTGTGTTGATCTCTTCCCGGATAGAGACTTGGTTATCTGATATAATGTCCTCAGGTCCCTTTTGCCTGCTGACTTCTCAGCCTCAGTAGCCAGGTTGTCCTAGAATTGTCTTTTGTCCTTCCTGACACTCTTCTTCACTTCTTTGTCCAATGCTGTGTAAGTTGAGCTCAGCGTCTCTTTCTCTTGTCCATCTTTGCATTGAATCATTTTCTCTTTCACCATTCTCCTCTCCTCTATTAGCTTCCAAGTGTCTGTTGAGACCCATTCCTTGTCTTGTTTCTTCTTTCTTCCTAAAACCGTTGAACAAGTTTCATTGAAAATTACCTTCAGAGAGTTCCAATGGTCTTCCACGGATGATTCCTCAGTGGTGCCACGTAGTGTTTCCTGCTTTGCTCTGACAGTTGCAGTGAAAATGTCCTGTGTGATTGTGTCCTTCAGTTTTTGCGTGTTGAACTTGCATTGTGGCCTATCGCCAGATATCCTCGAGGCTTTCAGCTTCACCTTGAAAGTCCCTTGTACTAGATAGTGGTCTGAACCCACATCTGCTCCTCTCCTAGATCTTGTGTCCAGTAGGCTCCGTCTCCACTTCCTTGAGATTGAAATGAAGTCTATCTGGTTTTTGGTGTGTCCATTTGGTGAAATCCATGTTGCCTTGTGTATATCCCTGTGTTTGAACACACTGCCACCAATCACCAAATCATTGAAGGCGCAGAAGTCTGAGAAGAGTTCACCATTTTCGTTCATTTCACCGAGGGCCTCACGACCCATGGTGAGTTCTCTTCCTCTGTTGTCTCCTCCCAGTTTCGCATTCATGTCGCCCATCAGGATTTTGATATCGCTCTTTGGGACGTTGTCCATTACTGTTTGTAGTTGACTGTAGAAATCCTCCTTCTTCTCATGTTCTGAGGCATTTGTAGGCGCGTAGCACTGAATGATTGTAACCTTTTTTCCTTTTGAGTTGAACCTGGCTGTCATTATCCTGGAGGAGATTGGTTCCCACTGCATGAGAGCTTTAGCCGCTGTTGGTGACATCATGATGGCTACTCCCTCGGTGTGCTCGTGATCGTCCTCTGGGTGACCAGAGTAGATTATTGTCTCTCCAGTTGGTAGTTGGCACCTTCCGCATCCGTTCCATCTGCTCTCGCAGATTCCCAACACTTCTATTTTATATCTCCTCATTTCTGCGGCTACCTGAGCAGCCTTTCCAGTTTCGTACATTGTACGAATATTCCACGTCCCCATCCTTATTTTTGCTTTCATCGAAAGAAGGCACATCGGCTGACTGGCTTCCCGAAGGCTTTCACCAGCCTGCGTCATTTCACTTCCCCGATTCCAGCGAAAAATTAAGTTATTGTTTGTATTTTTAGAATTTTGAATATATTTGTGCGTTGAAGTTTTAGTAGCAATTTGGTTAAGTTTTGGGGGTGGAGTTGCTAGCACCGCGCCCCAACCCTCCCTCTTTATCCGGGCTTGGGACCGGCTAGAATACTAGTGACCTAGTAATCTAGGCGAGGTTATATATATATATAAAGAAGTTACTGTTTTTTATCATCATTGCTATTCTTTTTACAGCAGTCTAACCGAGCTGTTGGAATAAACGTATTTAGCACAAAAGACAATCATTTGCTATTCAGGTGTTGGTTTGCAGAGATTTGATTGGTTTCAGAATTTTATCATGAGCTAATAGCTGTTTCTTCTTAGTTTGGGACTCTTTAGCAGTATGAGCATGATGAAATCCTGAAACCAGTCAAATCACCGCAAATCAACACCTGAAAATTAATCTGATATTCACTAGGGACTAACTGTATTAAGGTAGGTGGTTATATGGGTTCTAGTGAGAAGCTATGACCACTGGGGTACAGCAAGTTGGGTTTGAGGACAAATGCTCTCCGGTGATATTGGCTAGTGGTCGCGATATATCGTGAATTGGTAGAAGTTGGAATCTATGGGCCTTTGGGTTGGGTCCCAGTGGCTTAATGGTCTACGAGCTCGTCTTCTAACCTGAAGGTCCTGAGTTCGAAACCTAGCGGTGGGTGCGTACTGTGAGGAGTCCCAAACTAGGATGGAACAGCTGTCCAGTACTTCCTAAAGGTTTTCCAATGGTTTTTTAACCGATGTCAGTACATGATGAAATCGTGAAACAATTATTTGCAATATGATGCTAGGTACTGAATTTCAGAACCATTTTACAAAAATAATGAGACTAAATTGATCAGCTTCCACATAAAGCTGATTCTGAGTTAATGTTCTCAGACAGAAAATCCTGTGTCGTCCTGTTTCTTTAATTGTGACCCGTTGATGCGTATGGACCGTTCTCTTCCACTAGAGGCAATTAATTTATTTTTTGTTTGGTTGCTGGTGGAATTGTTTACTCGTTTTTAACAAGCAACGAGTGGTAATAAAGCATGATTTAACTATTCATCACATTTCCATAGAACTTCTCGGTTGCATACTTTACATAAAGTGCTATATATACTGTGAAAAATTCAAAAATGTGTGAATCAGTCATAGTAAAATGAAAGGTAAAAATGGTTACTGGTCAAGTTCAAGTATATAGTGAGTGGAATGGTAGTGTAAGGTCAAAAATCAAGATTATAATGGATTACCGGTTAGTTAACTCACTACAATAAACAATTAGTTATCTGAGAAAAAATTGAAAGTATTAGGAGTTGATAATAATAATTATTATTATTACAATACTTACAGTAAAAGCGTAACGACTTTTAATTTAGACAAAAATAATAATAGATAGAATGAAAGAAAACAAAATAAGATCACTCAATACAGTAAAAGGTGTGACAATAGTAAATCCAGAATGTTCACCATTTCCTTTTGTACACAGTGACATGACTTACAGAAATTAATTGCACAGGCCCCTGCAGTCGTAAGCATCTTTCTGTTTGTTTGTCTACTGACGACGCTGAATGACTTGACAGAGCAAATATAATATCCTCAGTTTAGATGATTCTTTGTCACAAAATGTTTTGGTACTGTGGCTTTCTCTTCTCTTAACCACATGGGAAAATTTTGAATCATACAGGTATACAGTCTCTTTTGTAAACGACCTATGTACTTGCTTCCACAAGTAGACTGAAATTGATGCATGCGGCTAGGAATTTTGATAATAAACTTGCTATCTATTGCATTGTAATACAAGGTTAATATTTTCGTTATTCTAAAAAATTTAGGATGACCAGTCACTTGTTTAAATAGGCTTCTTTGATTTAAACAGCTTGTTTTTTCATATCGAACCAATGTGAATTACACATACAAGACAAATTTCAAATCGAAACAGGTCACAAAGTCCACGATTGTTGGTTTAAGAAAAGTGAAGGGCACTTGAACTGATTATGAACTAATGGTTGAATGCTTCATGTTACATAGTTAAGCATTGATCACTCTTCGTCATCTTAGGAATTTCTAACATTTTAACTGCCTTTTATCTAATCGCTCTTACTTCTGACGTTTTAATTTTCCGTTGGTTTGAATAATTACTCATCTAGGCTTGCTCTAACTTTGCATTATCATGAAGTGTAATCGCTGTGAGCGATACGCTTTTCTTCCGACTTCTACACTAACCTTTCTGTATGCCTTCAGTAACAGAAATTTTGATAAAACAGCTTTTATGCTAACCAGTATGAGTGATCCATTTTGCGGATAGTGGTAGAAATTCACTCACCTCCAGACACGCCAAAGAGATTGTTTGAATCACGGTAACAATTTTTCCATGTCTAGTCTATTGATTGTTCTCTTGCAAGCATTATGCAGTCAAACTGTTACTAACATCCTTTTAATTTAGTAGTTTTCCTTCCAAAGTTAAAAATTATAGTCTAATGTGTGGTTTCATCTCATGGAAATAGATTCTGTAGGCAACTGGTGCAAGAGTTTGGTAATCATATATACGTACTTTTAATCCTTTAGATGTAATATTCGAATTACTTCACTCTATTCTTTTGATTACTCTTTGCTGTTTTTGATAACTACAGAAAAACAAAAACTTGGTTATTTTGAAAATGACTGGGAATCCTATTGGATCTAAGGGTGGTTTATTTTTTGCCCAAGCTTTGCAAGTGAACAACACACTTGAATTCATTGATCTTGGAGAATGTGATCAGGTTAGTTGAATAAACAAGATGCTTTAAAACGATTACTTAAAAGAATAGCCCATACACTTAATAACAATTCAATGACTAGAAATATAGCTATCACGCCTTAAGTTTCTTAGCTGCAATAGAATAGGTCAAACTGTCAATTTTCAATGATTAGTGAAGAGGCTAACAATGATCAATTTACAGCGGATCATTTTTTATACTAGCACCCAGATAGGTATTTCCGCATAACCAGTAGTAAAGCAACGGAGCAACTGAAGTAGACAGCTTTAGGTAGGTGATCCACCGAAATTCCGTATCCTGAAGAATGATGAAATGGATAAAATATAGTAATTTAGATTTATTCCTAATTCGGTGTCACTTCTGCTATAAAAAACAACTGAACAAAACTGGATTGAAACTCTTATTGTCTCATCTGTTTAGCAATAGCTAGTGCCACTCACTTGTTTTTCGCACTTTCATTCAAATAAAACAACCATTTTAGTTCAGTAAAACTAACAACGGCAAAATAAGAACTTGAGAGTAGCTTACATCTTTTCAACGTATTAGACGTTTGATCTATGATTGTTGTACGCATATTTTTATAGGATATAACCAGTTGTATTGCATTTGCCACTGTTTTAAGAAGAAACAAGTCCATAATTGGGATCAATCTGAATCGGCAGATCCTATGGACACTGCAAGAAGAACCAACTGTTCACTTAGCTGATATGTTGTGTGTAAGTATAACTATACTAAATTTTGTAGCTGTACATGTAATTTAAATGTATATATCATATTTTTATTAACAAATACTAAATTCTTAAACTTTTTATAGTTTGCACGCCTTATAAGCCAGTACTGAGAAATTTCCAAGATGGATTTATCAATAGAAAATTATTCAAATGAATCCCAGTGTATTTAGGAAATTAAAACAAGATTTTTCTGTTGTGTAAGCCATAGATTCTTTAGAAGAACTACTCGGATTTTATTGAACGTCAACATATATGGTCAAATAGTGCATATAATTAAGTTAAGTTGTTCAATTACAGATGAATATATGTCTATATTGATTCAATTTTACTGGTCTGTCTGTTTAGACTTTCAGAAAAATCCTGCTTTAATTTTTTAAGTGCACTGGTGGCTTCATACTCCAAAGGCATATTTACCAGAGTGTGTCTACGTGTCTGATTAGAAAAGTTTGTTTGATGGTCAGACTTGTTTATAGAATTCCTCCTGCTGCCTTTAAGTCTTCATTCATAGAATAATAACATTCTCCAACTTGAAGTTCAGATTCTAGCTGTTTGCATACAGTGAAACTGAAGATGCTGCATCGTGTCTTTATTACATTATTTGTTGTCTGTGAATTTTTTGAGTGATTTGGCTGCTGAACTGGTCAACGCATTGTTGCTTTTGCAAAACACTTTCGTTTACTGTACTTTAGCAATTGTTTGTTCAACTTGCACAACAGGTTTTGTGATTATTTCTCTCATTTATTTTCTATTCCAGTCATAAGTCAAGTAATTACTTGATTGATGCCTGCTAAGCTAATTCCCTTGAGTTGAAACAACCATCACTCTATTTGCCACTTACGATTATTTACTCTGAACATCTTGCACAGCTTTCGTTCTTCAGATTTCAGCGCTTTATATATGTACCGCAGTGGATCTTTGCTTTTGATGAGACTGCTTTCACAAAAGTTTATTCACAGCTTATCAAATGCTTTCTCTTGTAGCTGTAAATTGAATCACTTTGGATAGTTTTCCTGTACACTTCTGCCTGTAAGTCCCATCATTAGTTCTGTTGATAAGCACTTCTAGGAAGGTGATTTAACAGTTTTCTTCTTCATGCTTCGTAAAATAGATTCCTTCAAATGTGTTGATTGATGAGTTTAGTGTTTTCCACTTTACCGGCTTTGAGAAACATGCAATTATCGTTGACGTATATAGTCTGGATCTGAAGTCTCCTCACTGAAATAAAAATTGACTGTGGTCACTGATTCACCACCCCAGTAACCGATCCCGGGGTTGGCAACCTCATAGATGTCCCATTATTTTGTGAGTCATCAAAGTTGAAGTAAATGTTAAGACTCAAATTAGTAAGTTCTGCAAAGTTGGAAAGAATTTCCATTTTTCTTGAGTAAACTATCCATTACTTCTGAATTTCAGTTGGTTGAGGGAAAACTTAATGTCACATCAAAAGAAACTATTCCTTTATCTTCATATATTCTCAGATCCATTATTTGTCTAGAAATGCTCATAGCAGTTTGAACTGACTCTCTTGACTAATACCAGCTGAGGATTTCTAACTTGAAAAATATGACAGGGATAGGTTGCGCATAATTTTATATTGATATGGTTGTTCATTAAAGCTTCCTTGTTATGCAGCCACTGTGTTTCGTCAACTCATTTATTTTTTCATTACATCCTACTTGTAGGTGAATAGAACTTTGAGAGAACTGCATTTAGCTAAATGCGATATGCGTGATTTTGGAGCAGCACGTTTATCTGAAGCACTGGAGCGCAATGATACTTTGGAATTGTTAGATATAAGCGCGTAAGTCAACTCTTTTGTTTATTCTAGTATTTCAACATCAATTTATGGTCAGTATTACCGTGTTAATGATTCGCTAAATTATCCTATGCATCTGACTCCTTGGAATGTATGTAGATTTTATTAGACCAAATTAACGTAGGAAGCAAACAACAATTATATTGCAGGTTAAATGTCTTTCTGGAATAATAAAAATTATTTGGGATCATTTTAACTCACACTTATGTATTTCACGTACCATTAGAAAAAACACCAAAAAACCTAAATTTATATCTACAAAAGTGCTACACTCAATCTCGAGTAAATATACTCATACAAATTATTCTGTGAAAGTTGAATGTATGTGTCTAATGTATCCATCTAGCCTTGAGTATTTGTTAAGTGAAACAACACTGTTGTACCTTGAAAGTTGGAACTACAAATGCCTTTGCTAACTGGCTTTTAACATGGAATCAACTAGAGTACTTCATCTATTACAGTGAACTGTTCTCATTTCTTGATGTTTACAATTTTATAGTGTTATCTACAGGTGTGAAGAACATAAATATAACTAACCTTTTTTACAATAAATTTTTCGAGAATAATTAGAGCTCTTACCTGATGGCAGGAAACAATAATGGATGGCTTTCAATAAGTTTATTAAGTGATATAACTCAGGACCATAATTCATCGCCTCACTGTTAAATGTTCATGTATCTTGACCCTATTAGTGACGGTATCTGCTGATATTAAAATATTGATCATTTAACAATGTTTTTTATTGTTACTTTAATAAAATGCTCTTCATATTGGTTCTTGAGTTGACAAGACATGAATAATAAAGCGGCAGATTCATGCAAAAGACGTGTCTATTCTCTTCACAAATAACCAAAACTACTTGTATATGATAGAATTCCCATGATTCACAAACAGAGTATGTTGCAATTCTTTCTTTATAAGCAAGATCCTGCACTTTTCATTTAAAGGTGGGAGGTTTCTCTGGTTTTTTGACAGTTTACGTTATCGAGTTTCTTCATCATAATTACTACTTCTCAGGATGTCTTAATGTACATTTGAGCTAATTTATTATACCGAATCATCCAGTCTTCATTAACAAGTAGTATGCATGTAAAGGTACTTATACATTTTTGTAAATTACGCATCGAATAATAAACTGAGTACTTTATATCCTTTAGCAATCGTGTCTCACGTGATGGGGCAATTTCTTTATCTAAAGTAATCAGCTTGAATTGCCCGCTGGTTATATTGGACCTAGCGTTCAATCGATTGCAGTGTAAAGGTGCTAAAGCTTTGGCCAATGCATTGCTTTATAATACACATTTGAAGGTGTAAGTATTGTTACATTCAAGTGTATTATTTTTGTGATTTATGCTCCAGAACTGAAAAGTTTAATTCTTAGGCTCATTAACAAAATATCAAAACTAACGATGCACTTTTATTTAATAATAATAAAATTTCTATATTGTTCTTATTACAATCGGATGTTAAAATTTCCTTTTCAATCAATGCCATTAAAATGAAGTGCACCGCATTTGTTTAGTCTTTATTTTTGTTACTACTTACAAGTAGTATGGAGAAGTAAATAAAACTTACTTAGGTTATTTGTATAGCTTTTAAGTTCACATGTATTGCTATATGCCAAAAATAACAACCTTCAAAACCGAAGTGAGTAGGCTATCTAATATTCATTTCATGTAAAGAAATTCATGTTTATCCTTACTCTGCTTCAATAATGGAATTTGGTACTTAAAAATATTTCACACAGTAGCAAAAAGGATAAGGTCGATAACATTCAGATAAAAAATAGAAATTCTCTAAACAGAACAGAAGATGTAGAGGAATGCATGATGTAATAAAGATTGTATGACTTCGTTTTGTAGGCGTTATTATCAAAGTAGTTCACAGTTCTCCAATATCTGTTCCTGAGTACATAAGTTCGGTTTTAATCATCTTATTTCTTTTATTGTATTGTTAACGTTGTGAGCAATTGAAAAGATTACGCGAAATAATGAAATGAAATAGTGTTGAGTTCTTCAACATGTGTTTTGGATATGTTGTTTATTTTATTAGTATGCTTTATGACCAATAGATTTCATAATAGGATTAGGTGCATATTTTACATAATTATAAAACTGTTTGACAACTTCTCAGCCTTAAAGGTTAGACCGTCCCACTAAAGAGTCGAGTTACATTATGGTTTCGCATTTTCAATTTTTAACCAGCCTCGCAGTACAGTCATGTGAACTAAAAGGACCTGGACTTTGTGCATTGGCTGAATCACTTATTACCAACGTCACATTGGAATGTATTTATGTTTGGGGCAATGAACATGAAGAATCAGCGTGTATTGTAAGTGATTTTTTCTCTCACTCAGACAACAGCATATTAAATCAGAAGTGCTATGGTTAAACAGTCGTTTTTATGTTATTTTTTTACAAAGGAGCTGTGCATTTATTTCTAATGCCTCAAACTAAATTCAAGTTCAGGTTATATTGATATTATTATTATTAGATAAATGTTTAGGAAGCAGTTATAAGAATATTTACATTACAAATTTCGTAGATATCCTAAAAATTTAATAATGGATTTGTGAAAGGACTCACATTATTTTTAATATTTACACTTTTAATGACTCAATGAAGGCCGTCATGTTATCACTAAGTAAGCAGTGTTGAATATTTCTGAAAAATCATATACATGAATTAGTCGTTTGATAACAGGAAGTACACTGCGTATAGTTTATTTGAAGTTTTAGCAGTGATGTATTGGTTTTAGGGGGTTGGGTTGCTAGCCTCACACCCGATCTTCATTCTGTTCCGGGTTCACTATGGATCAGTAAACTAGCTGACGTTTAGGAGTGCATTACCCAGGACCACGTACGTGGTTGTCTAGCACTGTACTACTAAACCATCGAATCACACACTGTATAAAACTGAACTCTAGTACGGAATACATGAATTTTTTTGCTTAACTGGTATATATATATATATAGGTGGTCAAGTAGAAGCGTTGAATGGCCGTAATCCTTGGCATATACAACTACCGACTGCTCCATCCAATGTGTACGGAGAGATACATCACGATGCCCAATACTGATTTTGTTTATTACACGAATGCAATTTCAGTTTATTAGGATTCCGTGATCTAGACGAAGAAACATAATGATATTCAACTAAATGAAAGCTTTATTAGTGTTTAAATATTTCCCTGAAAGGAAAACCCAACGTGGTGCTTAAATTTATATACGCGTGAAAATTAGTGATCCGGCAGGTTGATTCTGGATTCAGTATAAAGAACTAGACAGCAAATTGGAACATCAGACGTATCATACAAAAATTTTATTATTTTGTGCACACAATTATTACTATGAGATTCCTCTACCTTAATGATGAATTTAGGTGTGTTTATTTTACCAATCATTCAAAATGGACTGAAATAACCTCATGTCTCTACAATGATGAAAGAGAATGGAGACAGAAATACTTGATGAATTTTGTCAACCACTGAATATTCTTCTGCTTTGAGGTTCTAATATGACTGATGAATGAGTTTGAATGGCTTTCATGTACTGCATATATCTTACCGTAGACACGCGTGAAAAAGCATTTGCCATTTGTTATAGAAAGTAATAACTTCCCTCACGGTAAACCTATCAGACATTTGGGTAGAAAAGTGGTGTATGAAATTAAAGTTTCATTCAGATAAAACGGGTCTGTATAGAGTGAAGTAAGTGAGTCGCGTAGATAAACAACCAACCAATCTACGGATTCCACCAGTATCCATCTTATTTGTTATTTATTATTATTCCCTTGAGTTCCGAGTGGAACATAGGGCTTCAACAACACATCTCCATTTTCTTCTGTTTTCTGCCGTCCTCTTCAGCCGGGTCCACGATTGCCCGTAATCTCTCATCTCTTCCATGTCACCCCGCACCGACGACCTACTCGTCGCTTCCCATTTGAATTCCACTCGAGCGATGGCCTGCAGTGCGCAAGATGTCATTCGACGGCCTCTTCAACGTATGCCTGATCAATGCATACCCACTTTCTCCTACATATTTGTTGAGCGATCGGCTCATGTTGGTTTGTTCTCAGCTAAAATTTCTTGTTACTAATTCTTTCTGGTTGGCCATTCAATCTTCAGTATGGAGCCAGCGAAGGCACCTGTGGATAAAAGCGTATAACTCGTTTTGGAAATCCTCTTCGTGGCACGCAGTGAAAGTTTCTGATACGTTTTCAAGGACCGACTTCACATTGGTGTTGAAAATTTGAATCTTGTTCTTTATGCTGAGTTAGTGCGGAAGATTTCCAAACTGGTTTCAGATTGATGAAGGCGTATTTTGCGTTTCTGATTCTGACTGGCTTTGACATCTCCGTCTGTTCCGCCTATCTCTGAAACGATGCTTCCTAGGTAATTGAAGGCAGGAAGTAACCTCTGTCGAATCTCTCCCCTTGGTGGTGATTGGTGCTGGTTGCTGTGGCTGTTGGTTGATTGGTTATCTTCATCAGCTCCGCCTTCTCTATGTTCAACTGTAGTCCTGTCCCCGCTGCTGGCCTCTCCTACCAGTTTGTTGCTTTTCGCTTGTAAGTTTTCAAGTTTGTGTAACATCAGACATATATCATCTGCAAACACCAGATCTTCCAGAGTCTTCTTATCGGTGGTCCAGCGTATTCCTGTCTCCCCGCTCCCAACTCACAGTTTGCCGCACAATTCAGTCCACCATAATAAGGGTATCATCGATGATAATAGGCAGCCAGACTTGTATTACTCATGTATTCACTTCAAACGCCCCGCAGAGTTTTCCATTGTGAATCACCTGACACGTGGCAGTGTCATATAGCCAGCTGTTGAATGAAGTTGATAAAGAATTGAGCACTGCAGGCCGTAGTGTTGAAGTAGCTTCCAAATTACTTCTTGGTCAACACTGTCTCGTGAAGGCCTTTTCGAAGTCGATGAAGTTGAGGTAGGGAGAGGTTTGACTGCCATTCAATGTTTTGTTCTATGGTGACGATGCGTAAACTCGTAACTGAATCAACACATGACTTGCCTTTTCTGAATCTAGCCAGGTTGTCCCGGTGGGTCTGGTGGAGTTCTACATCCAGTGCATCTTCTTTTGTCTCCAGGATGATGCGACTTAGTATTTTACTTGGCGTGGACCCTAGTATGTTAATAATTTTTTATCTCATAGTGAGATTATGTAAACTACCGGGTTTTTTTGATGACTTAACTCTCTTTATATTTTTTTATTTCGTGTTTAATAGGCATTTGCCAATTTAATCTATACTAATCGTCTAATGGAGAATTGTACTGATGTTAGACCATATGTAGTTGATGGTCGAACATATTTAGCTCTATTGGATCATGATTGCACTTATAGACAATATCGGTTTTCCGTGCCTTGGTGGAAGTTTCAAGCACCAAACGATCGATCAATTGCACTTTTTTGACTTTTACTTTATCTCATTTTATTCATTTTTTTCTATTTTCTTTTTCTTTCACTATCACCTGCTGATTGTTTTCAGTATTTTCACCTTAAAAATTGGAAAAAGAGAAAAGAATATTAAATGAGCTGTTCAACAGATGTCATTGTTGACTTAATCAAAAACTACTTGAATTTTATTTATCTTGAGATAATTGATATTTTTCTATTACAGTTGATCTGATCTTTGTCTAGAGTATTAAATGTCATAAGTATTATTATTTTCAGAAATGGATAATAGTACGAAATAAAATAATATATGAACTAGCGATTTGTAGTTTATTGCCAAATATTAGATAAAAATTGTGTTGTCAATAATAGACGAAGATTGTAGTTGAATTGCAGCGTTTAGTGTCACTTAATCCATTCAAACGACAAGGTTTCCCTAGTGCGGGAAAAATTCCGCCTACGAGATGGAATTTGCAAGCTATGATGATCAGTGGGATTCACGGAGTGTCAGCCATATCACCCAGTTACACTGAGCAAAATTAAGTACAACACAGTCAATAAAATCAGTGATTCTACTAAGACAGAAGAGATTTCCAGTTGTTAGATTTCCTTGTGAACTAAGATCAGTTAGAGAGATCATTGGAAACCAGGCAGCACTGGGAAGATGTTTCGTCTTTAGTGGTGCTCACCCATGACCCCACCAGGGACCAGACTGGGGACCTTCAGCTTACAAGACCAGCTTCGTTGACCATGCAGCCACTTGGGCTTGAATTCATTGATCCATCAATTCTGACTCCGCCAATTCGTGATATAGCGCTATCCTCACCGATACCTTCAGTGTGCACCCACTGGACATGATGAACCCCACTGGTCATGACTTTTCACCACAACTTCAGGACGTCCATCCAGTTTTGTATAGTTCATCAGTTTCATATAAAGAATTTGCAGTTCACTGGTAATGTAATGAAAACTGCTTATAAATGAAAATAATTAGTGTATCTGGTAACATTGGAGGAGCAGTGATAATTTATGTGTCAGCAGAAAACACAATGAAGAAGAAATGCGAGAAAGCTACAGCTCTAAGAAAAACCTATTGAACAACACACAATAAGGAACAGAACGTGCCTGATACAGAATGGTGATATTATTTGGAAGTACCAATCCAAATGTAAGGTTTAACATTTTCTGAGTAACATTAGATATTGAACTCTTCTTGCCTTCATCCCGTGTTCATTTTGTGATTAACCTATCATTAACAGTTAATATTATCGTTGGCAATTAATATCAGACACAAATGAATTGTGTATGAGTCATGTTTTTGTATCATTATCTTCCTGTTCTTCTCAATTTCTATTGTTTCTCACGACTTTGTGGCATATGCGAGATTTCTTATAGACATTTGAGTTATACGTAAGACACAAACACACTAACAAATGAACTTTACAATAGAAGACATCACAGATGAGGAGGAAGCAGAAACAATGCACCCAAGACTTCATGCCGATTGCCCCCAACTATCGATTAGCACATGTCCAATTGTCGTTTAAGTCAGAAATCGAAGTTTTCACCTTTTGTTATTTAATGGATTTTCTTATTATCTCATTAGTTGATTTTAGTATATGAAGTAGTGGAAATTATTTATAACCCCAGAAATGGGTGTTGAGGCAGAGGATTTCTGTAAGACTCATAACATCAGGTCGGTTCATTCAGTGATATTCTACTTAATGATTTAAGGGAGCTTGGAAGAATCTAAATGAAATGAAATAAACTTTGACTAAAACCAGATGAGGTAGCTAGTTGGATGAACAGTCTTACGAGGACGACCATTTGGAGTGGAAAACATACTAACACCTCTGTGGATTTTGTATGTGTTATTTATCTATCTATTTATTTATTTTTGACTGTCTATAAAATCACAACAGTTTGACAGTCAACAGTGTTTAGTGTTGCTGTTCACATTATTTTTGCCTTGCCAAGATTGTGATATCCCAACGGTAGAAATATTCAATAAAGTCAATCAGTAAAGTCACTATCGAATGTGCTTTATATGCACATTGAATGTAATTTGCACAAAAAAGACAGTTAGTTAATCGCCTTTGCAACATAATGTTGCATTCATGGGGTAAATTGAATCATGGCGCTGACAATTTGATTAATTACAAGGCTTTCAGCATATTATCATTATTATTTGATGAAAATGTGAGTTGAATGAATACCCTTTTAACATATTCTTATAGTCAACAGAGACGTATGCTGTACACAGATACAGGTCAACAAAGTGTAATTAATCACTTTTTTAAAAATTCCCTCTTTCTAAGTTCCTATACATTTAGGTGTCATTTCAATTTTAAACACAGCGCATAAACATGGTTACATAAATGACAATGTCAAGAGTTTCATGTTTATGATTAATGATCATAGTGAATTTCAGTTTTTAATGGACTGAATGTCAACCATAAGGTCAAGTGTTACTTTTCATTCTACCCATTAGGTCAATGAAAGTTAATAAATGTTATTATTACCACAGTTGACTCTGCTTTAGCCCATATGTCAATAATTACTTAAATACCCATTTCAGCGATTTAAAAATCAGCTATAAATAACTCGTATCAGTATGCGCTTGATTTATTACATTTTCTGTTTGAAGGTTACTTTTGTAATGGCTTCTTATTTGCCTTTTTAATGTGATGAGATAATTTGTTTTAGTGGATGGACAGAACTTTAGCTTGGCTCTTGTCACATCCACAGTGTTAATTCAGTTTCATTCTAGGTGTTCAGTGCAACTCAGTACATAACTCACTACTAGAGCATCAGTGTATACTTCATGATAACACCTTTTAGTGTGCTATAACTGATTCATTCAGGAGTATTTGATCCGATTATTCAACTGCTTAAAAGATATAGTTCAGTGTATTCATCAGGAGAAAATTTCACATTCTGCATGTATTTCGGGTTATTTTTACTGCATATGAAATTCTAAAAAAGTGTGTAGAAAATTCATGATATGTTCCAATGACTTAAATTTTGTGATGTATTTCTTCACGAAGCCTACAAAAATGAACTATTCTCTGTTATATAGCTCAAGTATTTAAGCGGATTATGCGAAGTAAAATAGTTCGACTAAACCGACTTCCGATTTACCGGAATTTGAGTCGAAGAAACAGTCCTATTACGAAAGAAAACAAAATTATTAAATAAGGATATTTCAAATTGTGTTTGGTTATCAAGCAATAACAAGGCGTTTCCTGGGATAATTAATAACTCTTTTGTCTTACTATACAACCTTTTATGCAGCTGTCATATTAATGATAATTAAGAACTTAAAATAATTCAAGTTTATTAAAATAATTCTAGAGAAGAATTCCCGTTTGAATAAATGATTACCTTATTTGTATGAGCGCATGGTAATGGTTTTCGAATGGCCAGAATGAGTATCATCTCTTAGGCAACATTTACTTGAATAAGGTTGTCAACTGTACAGTAGTCATCCTACTTTAAATAATTAAACTAAATTCAAACCAGGCTGTACATTCGTGTATTTATGATAAATGGGTGGGAAAGTTCCAGAATAATTTCCGGTCAAGGATCAAACTAATAAAATTAAAATTAGGGATTAAAATGCCGTTATAAATAAGGGGACGGATAAAACTCAAACAAAGTAGCATCATAATTACTGAGAAGATTGACATATTGTGCAGTTGGGGTTAGAAATGTAGAAATAACAAAAATAGACAGGGTATTTGGATAAAAAACCTAATGGGATGACAACTAATGTGATGAATAATTGGGCCACTTCAACGTGCATATACCAGCTTACTTGCTATGGCGGAGCCGAGTACATCGGCCGTACCATATGCCAACTTGAAAGACGCTCTCGTGAACACTATCCAGCCTGGCTAGTAAAAGTAGAACGAAGACGTGTATATAGTTCAGTGACAGAACATCTGGTCAATTCAGCATCTTTCGAAAATTCCTTCAAAATAATATACAAGATACGACCAAACCTATCAAAGGGAGTAAAATAAAGACATCAGGGCATAGCCAAGGCACTAGCCATCCAAAAGCTCAAGCCCACGCTATGTATCCAGAAGAAATACGTTCAGCCATTGTCCCTGCCATGGTCATCATAAACAGGTAATTATTTTAATAGTGACTATCCCATTGCCTTTCTGATCCAAATTCCCTGTTTATTACTTTTAAGTTTTTCTTAATCCCTAATTACACTACCATATTTTCATATCCGAACTTCCTATCTATTTTGTCATTTTATTATTTCTACTTATTTAATCCCTAACTGCATAAACAATTATTCGTCACATTAGTTGTGATCCCATTAGATTTTTTATCCAAATACCCTGTCTATTTTTGTTATTTCTACATTTCTAACCCCAACTGCACAATATATCAATCTTCTCAGTAGTTATGATGCTACTTTGTTTGAGTTTTATCCGCCCCCTGTTTATTATGGCATTTTAATCCCTAATTGTAATTTTATTAATTTGATCCTTGACCGGAAATTATTCTGGAAATTCCCCACCCATTTACCATGAATACGTGAATGTACAGCCTAGTTGATTACTTCGTCGAAAAGAAAATTTTCTCCACTGCAACCGTCTTTTTAATAATTCCTATGATCCAATGTGTATATTCCGTAAATTCAAACTCTAACCGATCAGTGAAAGTATAACAGTGTAAGTGGCTTAAGCGCAAGTAGCACAACTTTTTTATGATTAATAGAGATATTCAATGTGCGTTGATACCAACCTGCATGAACTTATTTCAAACCATTGTGAAATGTGCATAATCAAACTACCTGCATTATTGGTCTATCGTGAGGAAATGGGAAATTCGCTACATTGCTTATAGATGATTCTAGTTAGAGATTCATTCTACTCCCAAGTACACTGTTATTAAATCACTGAATAATTCTTCTGTGTAAAGCACTCTCACTTATAATTTTACAGAAGTGTTGAACTAGATAAATCGTACTTGAAGTCTTGCACTTTATTAACAATTACTCAGTGGATAAGCATTTTATCTAAACACCTGACTCACTTCACTTTGATGTGAAATTCGCCAAAAACAGACATCAGTTGGCTAACCTTTAAGAACCACTGGGCTGTGGACAACCTAGTTCTAGGGCTTGTATTACGCTTCCCAGATATCACCAAGAATTAGAATCTGAACCTGGGTATACAGCCACAGCGACTAGTGAGTGTCTGTATCACACAAGGACTGGTGGACCTGATGAGTAAAGATTTTTCTTTAGAACTTCAGAAAATTTATCTCGAAATTGTGGCTTT